GGACCGATGAAACCTCAGAAGAGAACGAAGAGTGCGACTCCAAAAACGCTCCAATTATCTCCTCTGAGGGAACATACCCATGGAACATTGACGGAGAACTGCTGGAGGTGCCTGGAGAAGTGCTGATCAGGTACACAGATGTGTTTTTATACAATGTCAGGACATGGGGTCATACATATGTCCCATATGTGTTATATATGTACGCATCTACTGTATATGTAATTATATATATATATACACTGATCAGGCATTACATTATGACCACCTCCTTGTTTCTACGCTCATTGTCCATTTTATCAGCTCCACTTACTATATAGGTGCACTTTGTAGTTCTACAGTTACAGACTGTAGTGGTGGTGTGTTAGTGTGTGTTGTGCTGGTCTGAGTGGATCAGACACAGCAGTGCTGCTGGAGTTTTTAAACACTGTGTCCACTCACTGTCCACTCTGTTAGACACTCCTACCTTGTCAGTCCACCTTGTAGATGTAAAGTCAGAGACGATAGCTCATCTGCTGCTGCACAGTTTGTGTTGGTCACCCTCTAGTCCTTCATCAGTGGTCACAGGACGCTGCCCACAGGACGCTGCCCACAGGACGCTGTTGGCTGGATGTTTTTGGTTGGTGGACTATTCTCAGTCCAGCAGCGACACTGAGGCTTTAATAAAAACTCCAGCAGCACTGCTGTGTCTGATCCACTCAGACCAGCAGAACACACACTAACACACCACCACCACATCAGTGTTACTGCTGAGAATGATCCACCACCCAAATAGTACCTGCTCTGTGAGGGTCCATGGGGGTCCTGACCACTGAAGAACAGGGTAAAAGGGGGCGAACAAAGTATCAGAGAAACAGATGGACTACAGTCTGTAACTGTAGAACTACAAAGTGCACCTATGTAGTAAGTGGAGCTGATAAAATGGACAATGAGTGTAGAAACAAGGAGGTGGTCATAATGTTATGCCTGATTGGTGTGTATATATATGAGTACCTATAATAATTAAACATTAAATTTGGCTGGTTTTGGTAAGTGGACTTCATGAGAGGAAAATACAATATAGGAAAATGTGTAGTGTACTAGACTTATAAGGTTAAATCCACAATATAGAATAACAGAATAATATAGAGTCAGCAAATTCTTCTTCTTCTTCTTCTTCTTCTTCTTATTATTATTAAATATTTTGTCTGACAAAGAACTCCATTATTTGTGTAACACAGGAATCAACAGAGTATATGTGGTAACTGTACTGACTCTACTGTGTTTTCTACAGAGTTCATCCTCGAATCCTCACACTGTTCGGAGTTGATGTGGAGGAGGCCGAGGAGAAACCCACCAAATGTAGCTGCATTTAAACACACACAGCACTGTGAAAAGTCAGCGAGTATCCTTCATTTATTAAATCTCCATTCAAAACAGCCATTAAAAATAAAATATTCATTATTTTTCAGGATATTTCTGAGGATATTAGAAACAAAATAAGCCACTTGCATAAGCAAGGAGAAAGTCAGAGGAAAATAAGTGAAACACAGGAGTTTCCAAAAGTGGAGTTCAAAAATTGATTCAAAGCTACAGAGAAAATGGGGCTCCTAACAACCACCTGGAAGACCTGCTAGACACCAAACTGCCCCCATCAGATAAACAGCACTTAAAGCTTTCATCTCTGAGAGAGAGGAGAAAATCAAGCTGCTTCAGATCTGAAAACATCCACAGGTGTTTCTGTCCATCCTTCCACTGTGAGAAGACGACTCAGCGCTGTGGGTCTGAAAGGATGTGTAGCTGTTCAAGAAGAACCTCACTGAGAAAAGGAGACGGACACATCAAACAAAGAAGCTGACCGATGGACTGACCGCCCCAGAGTCCAGACCTCAACATCACTGAATGTGTCTGATGTTGAACAATGAATAACTTTTACTTAATGGCTGATGTGACTGGAAAACAAATAATGAAGGGGGATCTCTGACTTTTGCACATCACCATATATACATGCCTACACACTAAACTAGAGGAGCCACTGATCAAATGCAGCTATTTAAACAAACAAACAAACACACACACACACACACACACACCCACACACACACACACACACACACTCACACACACATTACCATTCAAAAGTTTGGAATCACCGTTTTCAGTCATATAAAACCAAATAATATAAAACCAGAGATATATAATGATTCTAATCTAGTCCTGTGCAAAGTCACTATCTATATAATTACAGCTGGTCATTAATTAAGCAATAGAACACAAGAGGGAGTGTGTTATCATGAATAACATTATTGATGTGATTCGGTTGCAATTATAAGCCAAAGACGAGTACAAAAGATCATCACAGCCGTGATGTTATTCACAGTAACACACAACCTGGAGCATTTTTTTTGCTTTTATATAACAGTTCTGCAAAATAAAGTCAAACAAAGAGGCCCTGAATTTGTATCAAATGTGCATAAATCCCTTCCGCCAAAAAAAGTAGTCCCCTTTATCATTATAGAGCCATAAAACTGTTGCAATATCAGGTTCAGCTCAGCTTTTTCAGCGTTTTCCAGATAAACGTGAATTCTGGCTTCAGTCAGTCTGTAAAGCATTTCAGCTCATCTTGTTTGATGAAGTGTATTCTCTTCTTCCAGTTTGTTTAGTTCTTCTGTTACAACTGAAGACCGAAAGACTTGCTCAGGATCAATGTCAGATTCAGACATTGATGTAGTGCTGTGGTCACTTTCTTCTTCAGAATCTGGACAAATATTATCTTACAGAAGTTATCCAATGTAATGTTTCCTGTTTTTGTATGTGCTAAAGTAGAAACGTAGCAGTTAGCTGTGTCGTAAAACAAGCTGAAACCAGCGCTCAGCAGAATTATACCGTTAAGGATGTTACACACTGAGTAAGTTTACATGCTCTTAATAATCCGATAACTGCAGAAAATCAGATTTTGTCAGTAATCCGATCAACGTTTTTATATGCATTTGTCCTGACCACTGAAGAACAGGGTAAAAGGGGGCGAACAAAGTATCAGAGAAACAGATGGACTACAGTCTGTAACTGTAGAACTACAAAGTGCACCTATATAGTAAGTGGAGCTGATAAAATAAAAAATGGACGTGTTTATATGCACTTGAGTAATCAGATAATGCGAAACTCTGGGTCTACATGAGTCAGACAGTAATCAGATTTCTGCTTTGCAACCAGCCAGTAAACTCAGAGAAGATGATGTGACGTAAACCTAATGCAAAACTTCAATGCTGTGGCTTTTTTTAAAAACATCACAACACTTTACCTGAAAATATGAACAAACATCATCTAGAAGATGAAGAATATTTAAATCCTTCATTTTGTCAAGTATGTAGTTTCAGTGTCGCTCCAAAAGTGTTTTGCTGTGTCTCGCGGAAACGCTGCTCACTTATTTGTCTGTTCTCGCTCAGATCGAGAAATCCGAAAGAAATCAGAGTCAGAGTTTACAGCACTGAGAAATCTGATTACTGAGCTAAAATCCAGCTCTCTTTATAAGATTCCTTAATCAGATTTCTAGATCGGAGTGTGCTGTATACATGACCATTTGAATAATCAGACAACTACAGAAATCTTATGATTGGATTATTGAGTGCATGTAAATGCAGTCACTGAATACAATGTGAATAAACGACACAAAATAGTTTTTTTTGTTTGTGGAGCAAGAAAAGACCTCTTTTGCATTTCGTGAAGGGGCAAAGAGTGACAGCGTGCAGGACGCTTTCCATTGTGGAAAAGCGAAAGGAGAATGGAAAGTTTCTCCGCCTCATTCAGGAGCTGAAGCTTTATCTCAGCTAAGATTGAGCTGCTTTTGGAGATGCAGCTCCACACGAGATGAAGCGGAATTAATTTAGTGCAAAATAGATCCCCTTTGCTCCTCACCGAACGGGCAAGCAGTAACACTGAGCAGCAACTTTCCGTTTTATTAAAGTAAAAAAAAAAACGTGAAGAGCTTCATCGCTTCATTCAGGGGCTGAAACTTTGAGTGCTTTCACATGTAACTTGACTGTAGCCCAGTTTGAGACCTGTTTGAGCTGCTTTTGGAGGTTCTAATCATTGGTCAATAAGTTCTAGTTCAGGGGTGCCCAATCCTGGTCCTAGAGATCTACCACCCTGCAGTGTTTACCTCCACCCCTGATCTAATATAACACACCTGATCCAGGTAATCAAGGCCTTCAGTGGCATCTGACTGTATGAGCCAGATGTGTTGGATGTGAACTCTCCAGTGTGCTGGATCTCCAGGACCAGGACTGAGCGCCCCTGTTCTAGTTGATGAGACAGCTGGTCTGTTGGGTTGACTGTCGCTATGGCAACGGAAGAGACGACTGACATGCAGAGTCAGAGTTTAAAGGCCTCCTAAGTTCCTCTTTTTTAAAATAAGACTGTGAAGCAGTGCTGAAACATAACGTTATGTCTATACGGTCCGTCAAAAAAAAAAAAAAGCCTTAAATTCATTGTTTTTGTGATGTCACAAAAACAACCAATATCGCTAAGTGAGTTCACGTTGGCAAATGAGGGTGAATAAAATAGTGCTGCATTTAATGACCACTTAAAAATGGAGAAATCATCAGTTATACATGCGGTGTGATTCATATAGATGAGCCTATAATGGCTACATGAAGTTATAATAAAATTAACATCCATAATATTTTATATTTCAAAAGTGACAATCACCTCTTGCGCCAGATAACCATAAATATTCCTATAAATATATAATTACATTATATTTATCCTTGAAAAAACTTGATATCTTTTTATATCTATATCTAAAAGTACCTTTTGTTGTCTATAGAACATTCAAATGTTCTTGAAAATGATATAGAAATTAATATGATTCAAACTTTTGAAAGGTGTTTTACGTACATGCCTACACACACACACACACACACACACACACACACACACACACACACACTCATAAGTCTATCATATCCTGTAGCAGCTTTTAGACGGCGAATGTTCAGATAAAACCAAAGCCAGTCAGCCTCATGTTTAAATAGAAAACTGTTCATTTATTTATCAAAGCATGAAGAACAACATTCCAGTGCATAAATCATTAACATTAAATTATACCAAAGCACAAGTGGACACAAAGACATTTCTTAAAACACTATTTTTGTAGTTGCAAGGAAAAAAATTACAATCATTTATTAAAATCAACTGATTAAAAATAGTGATTTGAATAAAAAAATGGAATGTGCTTCTTATGTGTGACTCCCTGAACATCGCTGTGGTTTTGATTTACGTATTTTTTTATTTCAGATTCACTTGTGTATTTTAAACCTTCAGTATGTGTGGGATAAAACGCCGTGAAACAAAAAAGTCAGCACCTTTAAGAGAGACGAGAGACTTTTCAGTAGTCACACACACTGTGATGTGATTAGGGATGGGTTGATGTTTGGATTTGTAAAACATCCTTCAAAAAATGTCTGAAAAAATACCCCCCACCAAAAAAAAAACACCTAGGACGCTTATGCTGGGTTTACATGTTGGCAGTGAAGAAATTAAAACGTTCCATGCTTCGTAGCGGTACTGATGATGGCATGTTGCCATGGTGACAGTGTTACCACTGAAACTGGATGCTTATTTAGAGAAATCTAGCAATGTTGATTGTTTATTTAAGGTGGAAGAAGTCAGGAGACGCTCTGTACTCTTTTAATGTTTTTCTCATATAACACTGGGTACCCCTGGAATTCAGTGTCCATGGTTCCCAAAACAATGTGCAGTTTATTGCGCCGTCATGGTTGATGACAAAAAATGGGAAAAACTTACTGACCACTGTTGGCCGCTGCTGTTGCTGCTGGCGGTGGCTGAATTTCCCACCACTGCTCCATTAAAAACAATGGAAAATCTAGTTTGCCATCAACCACCTACTGCCATCATGTAAACACAGCATTGTGGGTAAAGGCTGCCGCACACCGGAAGCATCAGGTGGACGACACACAGCGTCCAGAACACAGCACCACTCAGCATCTTAATATATATATCTTTATATATATTAACCACTTAAATGGCCAGAGCCCACCAGCAGGCCCAAAGTTTTACTACACACTTCTAGAACCTAAGAAAAGCTCAGCCAGTTTGCACTGAGGTCCCTGTAGTTACTGAATATTATAAAACGGATGGTTCTGGTACTAAAATCTGATTGGCTGAGCCGCGTTCGAAGCTATTGTAAAATCCACAATATTGCACACCTATGACCACCTCACAGCAACTGAACTCCGTATTATTGCACCACAGCAAGATAAACCCTTAATGACTAATTTTTAGCTTTTCTGGCATTCGGAATAATTCGGAAAAATGTCTGTATGGCAAAACATATTGGAACATTTTTATTTTGTTTTGAGGCCTTTAGCTGTACTCTGCTTATCGTCCGATGTGCAGTAGCCTTTAGCCGGCTACTGTAGTCTTTTTATGCCTCCATCATTGGACTAAACAGATTACAACCTCTGACTAAAGCATACGACACAGACTCTACACTGCCCTCTGCTGGAGTTTAGAGGTCAGACTAGGGATGTGTGCTCTAATTTTGATATTTGAGTGTATTTAAGAGTTAAGGAACGGATATCCGGTTAACTGCGGGGAATCGAAAAACAAGAAAAATGCCCTGAAAAAGGTACTTTTGCAAAAATAAATGTGCAATTAAAGCTGGCTTACTCTTTTAGCGGATAGCTCTGGTGTTAAGAGGCTAAAAAAATCAGTATCACAAAAAAATTAGCGGCAAGCAAAGGAATGCACTTATTCAAAACTTCTGAGGGAAATCGGTAGCTTTCGTGTTGGAGGAGTAACGGAGGCTGCCTCTTCGGATGAGCTAAAACTACAGCTTTAACTAGTACAACACTGGACGCTGATGAGGACTCGTCCTCACATGTTACTTTGTCAGAGAAATGTATGTCCACTGTTTCTGGGCCTGGCTAACATCAGCTGGAGTAGTTAGAACTGCACTACGTCTGCTTCTCAGTCCTTAACATGTTCACGTTTAAGCAGTCGTATTGTGGAGTAGCACAGTGTAAAGCACATGTTTGCTCATAAATACAAGCTAAACTGTAACATTAAAGTGGTGTTTCATTGAACTGCAGCTCTGTATATATTCTCCACCTGCCTGAGCTCAAACGGGACGATGATTTCAGTGTTTTAATGCAGCTGTCCTGAACAGTTCTCTGGTACCTGTGCACATCCCTAGTTCAGAGGGCTCACCAGTCTTAAATATAAGCATACTGAACCTATAACCTTACAGAGAAGCTCGAAACCTCAACTGAAATTTTTTTGATCTTTCACGAGTTTCAAATATTCACGTGTTTGAATATTTGAACATTCTGACTTGTTGACGTTCTCCATTTCCTAGATTTCACTTCTAAACATGCAGAGTGCGGCGTTCTCATTTTTTCCTCTCTCTGGCGCGGTGGCTGTGTGCCAGGCACGCGTCAGTCTTGTCACTCGTCTGTAACACAGCAGCATTCGCTCCGTTTCCACGGCAGCCAGCCAACACACACACACACACACACACACACACACACAGCAACCGTGCATTCCCTCCATCTGTCCTCACACACACAGCGTCTACTTTGACTCTGAGCTGCGGAGGGGGGGAAAGGGAGAAAATAAAAGAGAGAGAAGGAGGAAAAGGCCAAAACAGGAGTTCGAAGAGAAGGGGAGGAAAAAAGGGAACGAGTGAAAGAGAAACATAAAAAGAGAAAAGGAAGAAAGGCAAAAACAGAGGAGTTTGAGAGGGGGAGAAAAAAAGAAGAGAGTGAAAGAGGGAGAAAGAAAAAAAGGTCAAAGAGAGGAGATGCAGGGGAAAATGGAGAAAAAGAGAAACAGACAGAAAAGAAGTGACAGAGAATAACAGAAGAGCGTTTTTGTAGCTCAGCCTGAAGTTTGAATGCTGTTTTTTTTGTCAACCTCAACAGAACAGATCACTGGCGATTAGCTGGAGCGTCAGTGGTGCGTTTTCCTCGTGTACAGCAGGCACTCTGGCTCAGGTGTGTTCAGTGGTGTGTTCAGTGGTGCGGCGTTGCTGTAGGTGCGGCACGCCGAACGCTCCGAGTGCGTACGCACCTCCGCATCGCTCACAGGGTTCAGTTCACCCTCATAAACAGAGTCAAAGTGCATTTGGTTTGATCCTGAATAAAGAAGAAACAGAGCCGCACAGTCACTCTGAGCTCCTGCTTCGGGCACAGTCAGTCCGTCTTTACACTGCAGGGCTGTTAATGCTGCTGATGTGCAAAGTCCAGCTCCTCCAGCTTCTTCATATTATTCCTTTTTTGGTCCTTTAAAGTTCTATCTTTCGCTCTTTTTGTGGGCTCTGTGTGGAAGCTGCAGAGAAAAGTAAAATCCAGCTGATTTACGACACGCTTTCACACTTGGGGACGTAATCCCAGCTTTCTCGTCTAAACTTATCCTGCTCTTCTTTCATCCGCCGCTTGAAGAAACCAGCCTGAGGAGGAGAGAACAGACCGTCAGACACATGCACAGACACGCTGTTACAGCTGGGAGGACAAAAGGACGGACGAAGGTCAGGCTGTTTTTAACTATGTGATGTTTTTGGCCATGTTTATAGATACTTTTATAAATACTGTAAAAAGTGGCTCATCAGATCTACTTAAAAACAAGTGGTAACGAGTAAATTAACTAGTTTATTCAACCTAAATAAATACTTTGAATGAACGATTCTTTCAATCAACATAAAACTAGTTCAGTTGCTTTGTTACCACATGAAACACTTGTACAGTTATTGATTCCTTTAACAATTAAGAGCTGGTGTTCCAGACTCGTTACTGGACTCTTTACAGAGCTGTACTGTATTTTCACAACTCTGATGGATCCACTTTTATAACACTTTTATCGATGGAGAACACCTTTATAACAGGTTTATGAATGCTTTAAAATTTGTTTATTAATGGTTATTAATTAGGCCATAAACACATCCATATTAGTAATAAGCAGCTATAAAATATTAATAAATAGGGCAATAGTGAGCCCACATTCATCTATACTGTTAAACCTCAGATGTTGCTGGTCAGCTTCATCAGATATAAAAGCTCACTCTTGACCTTTTTAATTGACCTTCTTAATAATGATTTTTAGGTGTTTATGACCTAATTAATAAACATTAATAAACTAATTTTAAATTAAGGTATACATTTAGGATATTGTAGTTTTTTTTTCAGATTATTGTAGGTTATTTGTTTAGGTTATTTTAGGTTATTTATTTAGGTTATTGTAGGTTATTTGTTTAGGTTATTGTAGGTTATTTAATTAGGTTATTGTAGGTTAATTGTTTAGGTTATTTTAGGTTATTTTAGGTTATTTATTTAGGTTATTGTAGGTTATTTGTTTAGGTTATTGTAGGTTATTTTAAGTTATTTAATTAGGTTATTGTAGGTTATTTGGTTAGGTTATTTTAGGTTATTTATTTAGGTTATTGTAGGTTATTTGTTTAGGTTATTGTAGGTTATTTATTTGTTATTGTAGGTTATTTGTTTAGGTTATTGTAGGTTATTTATTTAGGTTATTGTAGGTTATTTGTTTAGCTTAATGCAGGCTATTTGTTTAGATTACTGTAGGTTGTTTATTTTGATTATTGTAGGTTATTTACTTAGGTTGTTAAAGTAGTAAACATACTTTAACAAAATATGGTATAGGGAACATACAAAATTGGGCATAGGCCCCAAAGGTGTTACACATTTACAATAATGTGTTTAAAATAATTTCACTCATTATTTTAGGGCCCTGTTTTTCAAACACTGATCTGGTGAAGGTTTGGACAAAAATGTGTCATCAATAGAAATTATTACATCATTTTAAATAAAAAAATAAAAATATAAATTAATTTTGTACTGAAAATACCTCCTAATCCTGAACTAGGCTTAATACACAGGATTAGGCTCAGGAAGTCAGAGTTACTCACCTTCCAGAGGCAGACGACCAGCATGGCTAGAATAATCAGGCCGAGAAGCAGACTGAACACGATGATGGAAATGCCTACAAGTGGGTGTGGCTTCTGGCTGTAGTACGCTTCCAGGGTCACCTGCAACGACACAGTGGACGAAGGTCAGCAACTACATAAGGGTCTGATAAAGAAGGGTCAGTGTTTTGACAGTATGTTAGCTCTGTCAGCTCTAGGGCTAAAGCTTACGGGTGATTGTCCTTACATTAAGGGCTCCTACAGCTACAATGAGACTTACCACAGCACTGTTGTCGTCCTTTATCAGGATGGTATTAGCGTCTCTGACTGGTGATGTGACCTCAATGATACTGTGCATCTGCATTATAGCATGTCTTCCCTAAAAAGCCGAAAGAAGGAAAGGTGTCAATATTGAAAGCCAGTATCGTGCAAGCTGCAAACATGAGGCTCCGTCAGCATGAATACACTTTAATAAATTTTAATGAACTTTTATAATTAAACGTTTCTCATGTTTTATTAAGAAAATTCAATGAAAATATCTAAAATAAAAAATGACGGACAGGCTGACTCATGGTCTACAGTAATGCTATTCTTTTTGTGTAGTATGTGTGGCAGAAAAATGCTGAGTCATCCTTACAGGGCTGATCTGAAGAACCGCAGGGTTGAGCTCAACTTCCAGGTTGATGGTGACCTCTTTGCCGATGTCTAGGTTTCCGAATCTGCACTCCAGGGTCATGCAGCTTTCATCCGCTTCAGCACAAAACTGCACAGGACAGAACATCACCAGTCAATCTAGAGCTTTAATAAGGCATGACATTTTATCAAAACACGAAAATGGCTCAGAAACATTCTGGCTGAATCTAATCTGGTCTACAGCCGCACATTAAGAATCCAAAATTCTGTCTAAACTCAACTGTAGCCCAACAAAATTCTGTCTGAACCAACTGTAGCCCACAAAATTCTGTCTGAACCCGACTGTAACGCAACAAAATTCTGTCTGAACCGACTGCAGCCCAACGAAATTCTGTCTGAACCCGACTGTAGCCCAACAAAATTCTGTCTGAACCGACTGTGGCCCAACAAAATTCTGTCTGAACCGACTATAGCTGACAAAATTCTGTCTGAACCGACTGTAGCTGACAAAATTCTGTCTGAACCGACTGTAGCCCAACAAAATTGTTTGAATCAGACTGAAGTCTTAGAGAACTCTCTTAATCATATTCTGCTTCTCTGATACGTGTTAATGCTTAAGGAACAGACTTTTACCATGGGGCGCTTGCTGCTTTTTGAAAAGAAGAACACGAGCTCCTGAATAAACGATGCCTTCTTCACATCGCAGTCGTTCTCCAGCCACAGACTGCTGTTCTTCAGATGACACTGGCCTAAAGTGGTCTGCAAAATACAGGGAAATTTTCAAATAGTTTCACATCAAATAAGATGCAAAATGTTGATAAACAATTTACAAATAACTACAATACAGTTCAAAAGTTTAGAATAACTTGTTATATTAATATAATTTTCCAATAACCTATTTAGTGTAGACAGCTTGTATGTATACACATGGAAGGTACTGTGTGAAATACTAATATTATTATATTAATCTGACTTTTTTCAGTCATTCTTCATTCTGGATATTAACTTCATTCTTATATTTTACAGCTTTCTCTGTAAAACACTGAGACCACACTTTGAAATATTAGTGAAACTAGCAGAGAACTTAATCAACAAACACAAAAATGAATCAGAAGATAAATATGAAATACAGAATGTCAGTTTTGATTATTATTTAATGATTCGTATGGTGATAAAAAAGTGATTTGATGTGATTTTCTCACCTGTAAATCTGCAATTCGGATTAGCCTGTCCGGGTACGGAGATAAAACCTGAGGAATCTGGATCTTTACTTTTGCGTCCAGAGCTTTACTGGGACCGACGTTCATCACCTGCACACACACAACAAATGACATAATAAACCACATGATTCAGCAACCTGAGGGAAGCATCACAGTAGGGCTGCAGCTAACAATGACTTCCATAATCGATTAATTAGTTAATTTAGGGTCCAATTAATCAGGAAAAGAAAAGTGTCACATACTCTGTCAATAACGTCATATTTCACATCATGCACAATGTTTTTTTTCATGCACACATTTTCTAAGCTGCTTATCCTCATGGGGTGCTGGAGTCTACCCCAGCGCTCATTTGGCAGGAAACACCCTGGACAGGCCGCCAGTCCATCACAGGGCAAATACACAGATATACACATACACATCCAGGGGCAACTTAGTATCTCCAATTCACCTGACTGCATGTCTTTTTACTGTGGAATGAACACGAGGAAACTGGAGGAAACCCACACAGACATGGGAAGAACATGAAAACTCCACACAGAAAGGACCCCAGTTGCCCGGCCAAGGAATCGAACCCAGGCCCTTCTTGCTGTGAGGCTGTGCCAGTGTGCCACCCAATCTTCTAAATTATACTTTTATCAAGATCAACTTCTGCACTGCCCTCAAAATGCTATTTTAGTCAGTGGGAAAGAAGCCGAAACAACTAAGAAACAACACATAAACAAACCTTACCCGGCAGTCCAAGTGCTAATATGGAGGTAGTTTTTGATTCTACCAGAACTTTGCACTGCTATTCAAATGATTTCTCCTCTCATGATAAAGCAAAGATAAATGAATTAGTTTCTTTGGTCAGTAACATTGTGTAATCAAACCTGATATTAGGGAGCTCAAAGAAGCAGCCTGGTTATCAGCCATGTCAGACGTTTTCAAAAACATCCACCCACGTAAAAAACAGAACACAGGGTTTTTAAAATCTCCACCCTGGACCTAAAACACTACTATACACTTTCAAAAACTACCTGTTTCCCTGGAGATGAGCAGGTCTGTGTGCATTAGCACCCTACGAACGAATACTTATAGACTTGCTGTGCAGCTTAGAAGAAAATGCAGCTCATCTCTTCAACCAATGCTGTTTGTAACTTTTGACTTCGGTTTTACTGCAGTTTGCTGAGCTTCTGTCATTGTCTGCCGTCAATGTGTTTCTCTAGGTCAGGGGTCGGCAACTCAAATCAAACCACCTTCGGAGCCAAAACATTTTATTTCAATTTTACCATCTTGGCTGTAAATACGTCTCAGTATGTGATAATGTACTAGTTTAGGCTAAAAAATATAATATAAACAAAAACACAGACTTACTTTGCTCCGCTTTAAGCTTTAGCTCAGCTATGGCCGCTTTTCTCACATCTCCAGCAGGAAAATTTATTTTCAGAAAGGTGAGTAGTTTCTTGTAAAATGTATCTTAATGTTCGACTTTTTATGAAGCTGATTTCAGCTCGCCCTTCGCCAGCTTCTTATTTGAATTTTCCCGTTCCACTTTAAATGGTGCCTGAGGTGCCAGAATGTAATTGCTGCACCATTTAAGGTAGAACGGGACAATTCAAACAAGAAGCTGGCGAATGAGAAGCGACTTCAGCTTCATGACTTTTTAGTGTTTGACAGTTTCTGCCGTTTTTGCCGTTTCGTTAGCTACTAGCTCGGCGAGATTGTCGTCTGCGTTGCTATGGTGACCAGCAGTCTGCGCTGATCTTCAGGGTTAAAGGGTGAATTAGCAGTTCTACATTAACTCCAGAGTTTAAGACCATTTATTGTTAAACTGTGTTGAACGATCAGCAGAGCTTTATTTTACTGTAAAGGAGGATTATTTTATTTTTACCTACAAATCTGATTCTGCTGTGGAGCCACAACAGGGCAGTAAAAGAGCCGCATGTGGCCCTGGAGCTACATGTTGCCGACCGCTGCTCTAGATCCTCATCTACTATCCTCATCTTCTCACAGGAAGCCATCTTTTTAGATGATGTTACAGTGAAGTGTTCCCATATTTTTGACTATGTGAGCCGTGTTTGACCCTGTACTGTAGTCTCAGCCGTCTGTGTCTCCATCTTTCAGTCAGGTGATGTAAGCAGGGATGCAAACGTCATCAAGACAACTAATCAGTAACAAGATTCATTGCCTGCCGGTGTTGCAGCCCCACATCACAGTGTTGCAGGAGGGCAAATATACTCGTACTGCATAGTTTAGTGTTCCTCATCTGCTCATATCTAAGCTCAGTACAGTGTATTAAAAGACAACACTACACTGTACTCCTCTGCAGTGCTGTTTGGTGCAGTGTTCTCTTCCGGTACCTTAAACGTGTAGTTAAACTTCTCACTGTAGCAGTCGACCGGCTCCAGCTCGGGGTGTCCAAATATGAACGTTGTCGGAGACACAAATCTGCACATTAAAGAGAGAGAATATTAACCTACGGAGTGCTATTACAGCTCAGTCACCACAGTCATGTGACTTTATGTGACTAATGTTTTGATTATTATCTCAATTCTGCTTCATTTATTTAAAATTCTCTATTTAACACATACTGTCGTGTGCAAAAGTTTGGGCGCCCCTGGTAAAATGATGTTTATTTTCTGAGTGTACATCCTGTACAGAGACACACTCCTACACATTTTAATGCACAATTACTGTTAATTTAACATGTTTTATATAGTATAAAATACGGCATGTGCAAAAGCTTTTTTTTTGTTTTATATTCTACGTTTTATTTTTTTCCAATATGTTAAACTCAGTAAATAAATAGAAATTGTGCTGTAAAATTTGCAAAATAAATGATATTTTAAATTCCCCCCCTGAACCTGAGGAGGATATGTTGACTTATTTTTACATAGAAAACCAATAAAGACTTTTGCATACAACTGTATATAAAACTCCTGAGCCAATCAGGCCAAGTTTATTTCAGGTCACTATACCAGTTAAATATGCCAATTGTGTTATTAATGAGTGTCTGAATGAACCCCTAACTCACCCGTGTACATTCAGGCCCACTCCGTATCTCAGCGGCAGCGTCAGAAAGGCCAGGTTGTCGTGTAAAAGGTCCATGTTCTCATAGTTCTCTCTGAAATAAACACATTATGTGTGGCCTGTTAGCTTCAGCTCGTCATAAAAACCCTAGTTTTGTGGTTTATTAACAGGCTTTCCAGGCATTCATGCACTTACTCAAATCACCTATAGATAAACTGTCCTCAATTAATATATTTTAGCATAATGTAAAGGTATTAAATTGGTCATTATTTATAATTATTTATTACCTAATAGGTAAATTTTAATACACATCAACTTTCTTCCTTAAAATTCCCCTAAATTTAAAGTAAATACTCTTTAACTACATTACTATATGGACCAATCTGTCAAATTAAACTTCAGAAACACAGCAAATAAATCTATTAAAAATTGATATTCGGTATTCAGTCCTTAAATATTTACAAGGATGTAAATTGATCGATTTAAACTCAAGACGTTAATAGAGTTGGTTTGAAAGATTTAGATTCATCATTAGTTTCATTTTTAAATTGAAAAAATGCTGTCCCACATTTTTATGTCAGTACCGAAACACAGAGTTTTAGTCCATAGGCGGAGCCTTATTTTAGCCACGCCCCTGCATTTTAGAGCATTTCTGCCCACATGGTGAGCAGTTTGATCCCATTGTTTTGAAGTAAATGTGTCCCAAAGTCTGAAAATCAGTGTTAAACATTACAAATTGTCACTACCGAAACACATATTCTCAGCAATTAAGTACTTTTTTGTGTTTTAGTAAAAATATGATGATTTTATGTGTGAACAGCTGTTCAAAGCTGTGTTTCTTGGTCATGTACTGGCTGTGTTTTTGAGTTCTGCTCAAAATGAGCTAAAATTGTCACAGCCGAAACGGTCACTACTGACACATTTGGTAAAGTTTCTTTAGTGTTATGATTGTTTTGGTAGTAACAAAGTGGAATGTTCAATCATTTGTTTTAATAAAATAAACATAACTAAGTTTTAGGGTGACTCAAAGCAAAAAGATTTTAGTCTAAAGTCTGAATTAAAAGTCCAAAATGTGTTTTCAGCTCTGACATTGAACCAGTTCAGTACAGTGATGCATATAAGTACTGCTCCCATTCAGCGCTGACTTTTGGAAATGTACTGTATTTCAGCTGATGAAAAGGAAGCTAAACCAGTTTTACATTGCTGTCCCAATACTTATCGGTGCATCACACCTATGGCTTTAAATGTAGTCATTCTAAATTAGTTTTAATTTTATTTGGTTTTTATTTTGTTTTATTTCACACATCATGTTTCCTTCCATGCTGGCTTGCAAGGCTTGCTGAACACACCTTATGGAGATTTCAACCTCTAAGCAACACTATTTAGCACTTAAACAACAATAACCAAACCCACAAGCAAGACATTTGATTTCTATAACAATCACCAAAACGCTCAAAAGGAGCCGACATCCTTCCTCAGCGTATGACTCATTATCTCACAGCATCCGTTTACAAGTCGCCCTTAACAACAACCAAAACACAAAGACGGCCTCTCGCACAGGCTCCCTGCGCCTCATGCCCAATTATGGTCAATTTGTACACCAGAGCAGTAGCAAGATGTCTCTTATTAAACGATTACATCTGGCCCAGACCCTGCGCAGCATTCCTTTCCATTCATTCACTGCCTAATGGCCATTCTTTAAGGACGTTTTACGACCGGCAAGCTACAACTATGAAGGCTTTCAAACAATGACAGCCAATAGAACGTACTGTGATTATTATGGATGGTTTTGGTTATTATATACAGATATATACTATCACTGCTGTCAGAACAAAACCTTGTATCTCCAAAATGGTAACTTCACAGGAGAAAAAACATAATTTACTTTTAATGTAAGTGGAACCAGAATTTTTTCCAAGTAATTTTGGGCCGTTTCTTTTGGTCCATTCATCATGAAATTTTCATACAATGTAAAGAGCAACAGGCTTTTTCAAATAATGTCAAACTGAAAAACGACAAAAATAGAGATACGAGGTTTTGTTCCGACAACAAATCCATTTTTAATTGAATTTAATTTAATGAGTTTTATTTTTCGTATTTGTTTACTTAATCTGGTGTCTGAAAAATGTCGTTAATTTTATTTTATACTATTTAAGCATGTTTGGTGTCTGACGTTTGCTTCTTTAGTTTTACACTGGAGCTACAAGGCTAAGTAATGGAAGCCAACCAGTGACACCCCACCAATTAGCAAACCGCACAGCTAAATCACAAAAATGGACAAAACAATGAACAACATTTAGGGTCCAAGATGCAGGGGCAGATATAAGGGTGGGTCGTGCACAGAAAAAAGCATTACTTACCTTGTAGCATTGATGCTAATGCCAATATCGCCTGCGCTGCTGTTCTGATTCACGTCCATCAGGAAGCTGATGTTAAGCTGGATACAAAAACAGCAGATCAGTACCAAACAGTACGATGGTATAAAAGCTTAGAAAGCACTCAGGGCTGGAGGTCGAGAAGCAGGCAGCTACCTTGGACAGGGAGGGGATGTACAAGTTGCCCACACTGCAGTCCAGACCGATGGCTGTTTTGTTGTCCTCAACAATTTCACAGCTTACATGTTTCTCCTCCTAAAGTCAGATCAAAGCAGCAATATATTGCACAGTTATAAACTACAAAGTAAAGCCTGTTAGTTTTAATTAGACCACTCTGGAAGTGACGCTCGGTATCCTCAGGCTAATGTGGAGCTGTCCGAAAATTCTTTGGGACAGTTTATCCTGATTCACACGATGTAAAGGCCATCAAATTGTGTACAGAACATAAGAAAATGTAGTTTCTTTATGACACACATTATTTTTTTTTGGGAAAACGTCAGCACACTTACAGCGTCCAGCACTCTGATGAAGTGCAGGCTGCTGGGGAATCGGACGTGCAGTTTAGGCAGAAACGCGTCGTCTCCTGCGTTGACCAGCGTAGCGTTCAGCATGATGGTCTTCCCGTTTCCGAGAGCAAAATACGACATGTTGTTGTAAGATCTGAAACAAAAAAGCACTGTTGTTAATACAGACAGTTTTGGTTATCATATATAGATATAATAATATGCATGTACATATATATATATATATATATATATATATATATATATATATATATTATACATACACACACACACACATATATATATACAAATATATATATATATATATATATATAGAGAGAGAGAGAGAGAGAGATACAGATATATAATAATTTTAACTGAATTGAATTTAATGAGTTTTATTTTTCGTATTTGTTTACTCAATCTGGGCTTTGAAAAATGCGAGTGTAGTTCTTTTATTTCTATTATTAAAGCTTTTTTTCCTGTTTGTTTGCACTGTGCTAATAATGCAGCGTACTTGAACGACCCATATTTGTTCGGGCCTAAAAAGTGAAATAAAATTAAGCATTATCTTTTGACTGATTCAGACTGTGGGGACACAAGCCCCTGATACTGTATCTCACACCAAACCAAAAGACTCCATCAAAGCAGAGCTGTATATGGAAACGTTTCAAAGTAAAACCATCAGATTTGTACAGTGTGAAGTTGTATGACTAAGGGTCCACACGCGGGCTCATGCTTCAGTGCCTCACACTTATTTAAGCCCCTTAAATCCCAGGCTTATTACATCCTAATGCATATCATTCACTAACTACACAGACTTGAATGCAAACTGAGTCATTCTGAAGTTACAGGAGTGTGTAATAACAGTTTAAGCATGGCCGTAACTGGCTATGAGGACATCGAGGTCCAGACCTCGGGAGTTTCAGAAGGGGTTTTTTCACTTTCAGACGTAGAAACAGCGCGATGACGATAACACAGTCTATTCAGCAGCGCGGCCACAGTATCACAGGCCACCCAATCAAATTGGGACAGAATATTTGTTATGCTGCATTTCTGGGATGATGAAGTTTGTTTTCTGTCACTGAACTATGGTCAATCGAAATTTGCTCTTATTTTCTAAACCCTCCAATCACTGCTTAGCAACCATTGCTATCCACAAATGCTTCAGTACATTAGCTAGCGTTCGTAACTAGCGTTAGGACACTGAGGTCCTCGGGAGTTTCTGAAGGGTATTACGAGATTCAGAGTGGGAAAAGCGATGAAACTACAAAGTGAGCAGTGACAGGTTCTCAGCTGACCTCAGAACAGCTGTGGGTCGGCCCTAGACTGAACTGCTCTGTACGAGACGCTACGTTGCTCTTAGTCCCAGAGTGGCTTTGACTTCTTGAGATGTTCATGTATGCGGCACACATGCTATTCACTCTGAGATGTAGGTCACATGTCTGCACTTTGCTCCTAGTTATGGCCCTGCATAAGATATTAGTTTTGTTGTAGTTACCAAAAAATTAATAGCAGTTTTATCATGGAAAAGTTAACCTGTTCTTTGAGAATTCAGGTTGACAGATTTTCTGCAGGCTGTCTGCGTTTTTCATAACCTCCCTTTTTTCTTCCTCTTCTCTCTACTCAAAAATAAGCTCCCCATTTTGTAATGTATGTGGTTTATATATAAAAAAGTAACCTAATTTTATAGGAAAGTCAGAATTTATGCTTGGTTTAGCTTCTACATTATACCAATTAAGATATGATGATAATAATAGTAGGTAATTTACTTGCATCCAGTTCTTTTTGAAAACGTGCAAATTACACATTTCCACCAGAGGGGTCCTCAAAATTTACAGAGCACAGCTTTAAGCACCAAATCACACTATCATTGTTTTTGCTCCAGTTTAAACTTTGCTGTTTCAAAATGACCAGAAAAAAATGTGTGTAAGGTAAATCAAAGAAGAAATACACCCCCCAAACCATTTTAACCCCACTGTGTTTCCACACAGTTATGCAATTAAGAGGACTGTATTAATGACCCAGGCCTACAGCAGCTCTCTCTGTAATCAGGAGCTAAAAAGATTAAAAAAAAAATATCCCACAAACTTGCTCTCCCGTTCGGTGGCCATTCATTTGCATGCTATTGTTTTTGTTAACGGTTTGAAGGAGAGCCATAGGTTTACAGAGTGTGATTTGGGAGACGGGGAGAGACGCTGCAGGCTGTGCCCGCAGTCAGTTCAGACCTGATATTGCTCTAAACTAGGCACCAGGTGCGCATCTGGGTGGGTGACAACTCCCCCCATCACCACACATACACACACTGCTGCCTTATGAATAATCAAATCATGCATTATCACCGAGGAGAGCGAAAGGAGTCCATAAATTAGTTTGCGTGAGCGTGGAAACATGATCCAAAATGCTAATGCACACGACTCAATTAAGCAGGCCTGAGAAATGCTCTGAATCAAAAGGACTGATGTAGAATCCTGGCTGACTGCGTGAGTTTAAAGAAACGACGGAAAACAGCGCATCCCAGCCTGGATATTCCCTGAGGCCATGTGCGGTGCTCAGAGAGGGGGCGTGGCTATTCAAATATATGGAAATCAGCACTCGTCTAAGTATATGTTCATTTAATTGTGTATTCAAATAAGACGTGTGAAGTATGTACTAAAAATGAAACAAATCGCTTATGATTATAATTTAAAGTCATTTTTAACACTGTAGATCTGCAGAGAATGTGAAGACACAAGCAGCCGATATTATGTTTAATGTATAAAGTTTCTATTGAGGTTGTTTGGCAAAAATTGATATATCTATATATCGATACCCAGACATCAAGCATATATCGGTCTACTGGCTTAATAGGATCGGCACCCCGCTGACTGCTGACCACCCAGATTATTGTCCTGCATACAGGCTCTAACTAGTTTTTGATCTCCTCAAACAGATTTTAAAAGCACAGCGACTTTTATTTTGAAAAATAAACTTAGACAAATGTTACAAACAATGACTAGACCTAAAATAAAATTATTCCATAGAAAATGTTGTTGCTGACTCTGAGCTGGATTAAATTAATTTACTAAACTAATTTACAAAGTATAACTAAAGAAATGAAGGAGGGAAAAATCAGTAAATTGGACCTTGAGTGCAAAATGAGCGATGATAAGTGGAATTTTGGTCTAATACTCTGCTTAAACACAGGACTGCCCAGAAAACACTGAGCAAAACACCAGCGGACCACCAGCTTTGCCATCACAGGGCCAACAGTGGCCCACTATCCTCCACTATGAGGGTATTCATAGTCAGAAAAGGCTTAAAAGAGAGAGATTTTTCAATGTGAAGAACAATAATTCTTGTTTGTTTATTAAATGCAAAGTGTAGCCTGATGGATTCAGAATGTTTACTGCATTAAGGACTAAAATACTAAAGAACTAAATGTGGTATGAACTAGGACCCAGTCAATAAGAACATACTGTCACTGATTCTGATACTGATTTTAAGGAGCTACAGATAATCAATAATATCAGTTATATTGTTGTATAAGCTTTTACATTTTTGGGGGGAAACAATTTTGATTTCCCGAGATTATGACAATAAAAATAATATAAACGAATGCAACAAATGTCGCAAATGCAACTCAAATGCTGTTTAATTTATTTATTTATTTATTTATTTATTTAAATAACCTAAGAAAATAACCTTATTACGGCCCAAATAAGTGCATAATTTGGTGGAGGAAAGGACGACTTTAGATCATGGTCTTCATTTATCTAAATGTAGGTTATTTCTTAGGCCATTAATAATTGCTTACGTTCAAAACAACTGGATAAATTATGTACATTTACATAATGGGGGTAAAATGCAAATAAGATACTAAAACAGATCAGACTAGCTAACTAACTAAAGTTGGCGGCCAAAGTAACTTTTTCCAAACATTCAAAACAACCGTCTGTCATCCTCCACGTTTCAGACTACACAGCACGCAAATCCTTCATGATTAGGACTTTGCAGGTGGGGAGTACGCATCATCAGACTCCGAGGGGCATGTTTAGGTGAGAATGAGTAACAGGGGGATCTGGTGACAGACACTTTCAGCCAGAACGAGGAAAAAAAACATCCACTCACTGCGGCAGCACCAGATGGGCGGAAATCTGAAGGTTGGTGGAGCAGTTTTCCCAGGCGCAGTATCTGGCAAACTGTGTCTGCGAAGACGAAGAAAAACAAATATTGTTCAGTCTAAAGAAAAACATCCCATCACATCATTCATACCGAGAGGAGACTTAACCGGTCTCGCAGGGCTAGACGTGATCTCAGACGTCGAGAACGTCTCAGCGCAGCGGTGAGAAAGTTTGGGCTAAATGTGGGTGGGAACGAAGACTTATTAGGGTGGGAAACAAACTGAGCGTGGAGTGTCTAAACCAATCCGACGCCTCGTGAAGGCGGAAGGGCGATTGTGAGCTCGTCAACATTTGTCTGATGGACAACAAGCAGTTGTAGTTAAGTACATTCATGTAAGTTAGTGTGACTGAAAAGTCCCCAAAAGACTCTGATTGAGCCAAATGTGTGGAGCCCATTTTTTAAAGGAAAAACTCCTCTGGCAGCAACTATTTCATCTCTATTACCTTTGTTTTATTATTTTCTTATCATCTTCATTTTTTTCTTATTCATTCTATTTGATCTTTTTTGATATGGCATATTTTATTACTCTATATTGTACTTAATCATTTCTTTTCCTTGTTCTGATGTCTGTTTTTTCCTCTTTTTTACGATTTTATCACTATTACTTTTGTTTTAATCTTTTTTCATCTTAATTTTTTTCATCTTTTTTTCATTTCTTTTATTTGATATTTTTGATATGATATTGATATCTGATTATTCTATATTTTACTTAATCATTTCTTTTCCTTGTTCCGATGTCTGTTTTGGCATATTTTGTCTTCTGTACTGTTCTAATTATTTCCTCATGCTTTACATCCCTTCATTTTTCTACACTTTTGTAATTACAGGATTTTATTTACTGGTTTTCTATAATTCTTGGCTCTGTGATCCTCTAGCTTGTTCTGCTTGTGTTCATTTTACTCCAGAGTTAAAAGAGCATAGACTAGAGGACATTTGGCGGTGGGCTTTAGAGGGGTCAGCAGCAAAATCTAAACAAACTGTCCTCAGACATGTATTCTCATTATGAGATCACATTCGGTCCCATGAGAATAATTAAACGAATTTAAAGCAATGCAGATCCAGTATTTCTCCTTATAATAGAAACAGCTGTGTGTAGTCAGATTCAGATTTGAGCCACTTTTATATGTGCTGGATCAGATCAATTTCTGATAGGCGACTGTAATGAGGACAGTATTAGAGTTCAGTATTCAGAATTCAGAGTTTTTTTGTTTGTTTTCCATCACATTTCACAGCACATGTGCATATCACTATCGTTATCATCCAGTGTGGGCAACAGGTCAGCACTGCCTTTACCCTGAACTGGAACTGAAGGGCCGTCACACCAAACTGATGTTGTTATGTTTAAGCTATTTGCTGACCAGCACGAGACATTATTGATTTAATAAATGTCCACATGTGGACATTTATGTGGATTTTTTTTTACAAACAAAGCAAATTTTATCATGATTCAGTCATTTAAATTGTTTTGATATTATTCTGAATTTTTTGCAAAATATACAGAATACAGAAATGTGAGAAACAATTGCGCAGTGGTGGAATATAAGCCAATAAATATATTAATTTAACTGTATTTTCATCGGGGCGGCATGGTGGCGCCTCACAGCAAGAACGGCCTGGGTTCGATTCCTGGCCGGGTGACCGGGGTCATTTCTGTGTGGAGTTAGCCTGTTCTCCCCGTGTCTGCGTGGGTTTCCTCCGGGTTCTCCGGTTTCCTCCCACAGTCCAAAGACATGCAGTCAGGCTGATTGGACATGCTGAACTGCCCCTAGGTGTGTGTATGATGTATATGTCTGTCTGTCTGCCCTGCGATGGACTGGCGACCTGTCCAGGGTGTATCCTGCCTTCCACCCAGTAACAGCTGGGATAGGCTCCAGCACCCCACCACGACCCAGAAGAATAAGCGGTTTAGACGATGTATGTATGTATGTATTTTCATCCATTTTAAATGATCGTATTATTATTATTATTATTATTATTATTATTATTATAAAAAGATGGATTGGAACAGAAGGACTATAAATACAAGTATCTACAACTAAGTTGGTATATATAATATAAGGGTATATATGACATTTAAATGGGATTACAATGTAATAGAAAATCAATCAGACAGTACTAATTGATGCACTAACTAATATACATAGATGCACTGATGATATACACATTCTTTCTCTTTCCTATCCTCTTTTTTCCTTTTAAAAATCATGTGCATAACCGACACTGATACAATGTGAATTTTGTATTTACATTTGAATTTACTTTTAAAAGTCTCAATTTTGGCCAAAAAAATAGCACAGGCTTCATATTATTATTATAATATAATAATATCATATTATTATAATCAGTCAATCACGGACTTTCAGAATCTACAGTCGATGCAGGTGAATCTCCACCTTCAAACACAGCTTTACACCCCTCGTTCACACCAATCACACACACGTGTGACTTACAGACACGAATGTGAAACGTCATGGCGTTAAAATCAGATCCGAGCAGGAAGACGAAGTGAAGCGATCAGGCCTGTGACGTGGCTGCAGTCTGAGTGAGCTGAAGGCGTTCGGTGGGTGTACCTGGTTGCTGACGAGGTTAGTGTGTCCCTCTCTCTGCTGCAGGATGGGTTTGAGTGAGGTGAAGCTCTTGGAGCCCCCCCGGACCACACTGTGCTCTCCCAGCTCGTACTGCGCCTCGAAATGGATCGGCCTGAAGATATCGCGAACATCTTTCTGAAACACGAGAGAGAAAAAACACATTTTAATAATTGTGTAATGGAGCACGAAAGACTTCTCATTTTCTCTTTCTGCTCGGCCCTTATTTACTTATTTATCATAAATGTTGCATCTTCAAAATGGGAACAGTAATAAAAACACTCTTAACTTTTAATGCAAGTGAACGTAACACTTTTCAGGCCAAAAAACTTTGGGCCATCTCTATTGCACCATTTGTCAGGAAGGTTTCACACGGCGTAATGGGACAATGGCATTTACAAATTATGTAAATAAATAAATACATAAATAAATAAATGAGAAAAATGGAGATACATATTTGTGTCCTGACAGCAAAGCTATATTGACTGGAGCAGTCATGAGCTGGAGGAAATCGGCCTTGTGACCAAAAGATCGCTGGTTCGATCCCCTGAGCCGACAGTACGTGACTGAAGTGCCCTTGAGCAAGACACCTAACCCCCAACTGCGCCCCGGGTGCTGTGGATAGGGCTGCCCACCACTCCAGGCAAGTGTGCTCACTGCTCCCTAGTGTGTGTGTTCACTAGTGTGTATGTGGTGTTTCACTGCACAGATGGGTTAAATGCAGAGGTGAAATTTCCCAGTTGTGGGTCTAATAAGGGTCTCTTAATATTTGATCTTCATATTTAGATTTTTATCAAACTAAGTTGTTTTGTTAAAAAAAAAGATCTTCGCAAGCGTTTTTTGTTAGAATTCCAGGCTTATTGTTGCTGTTTTGTTAATATATTTAATGTACATTACATCATTACTTAATTGTTTACATGCTCAGTTAAATAAGGGAATTATATTTGCATTTTATGTAAAGGTTCAAGTCTGCACTCCGTTTTTAATGGCCAAATATGTCAAAAACATAATAAAATGATGTTTTTTTCTAACTCCAAGACAAGACTGTACAATAATGTTTCACTGAAATTATAAAAAAGCTTCTTTTCCACTGACAAACACGCATGTGGTAAGTGTTGAAAGTTTATAATCTGAAAAAATTAATATTTGATTACAGCAGGCTTTCGTTACTGACAACAATAGCTGAGGTTTTTAACAGTTAACAGGTGAAACGTCTCCATTTTCATCTTTTTATACCGTTTTCCTAAATAACTGAACAATAACACTTTTAAATGGGGCTCATTTGGTTCTTTCTGGTTTCCATTTCTCCTTCTTTCTTTATTCATTTCCCTCAGCTTGTCTTTATTCCTTCCTTCCCTCCAGTGAGTGTGTACTGAATGCTGATGGAGGCGGCTGAGAGGGACGAGTGTGGACTGATTCTCTGATGGCCGTCTCAGCTGGACGATGCTTTTTTCTCCCTAGTGTCCCCCCTCAATGCCTGGCTTTGGCTGTGGACAGCACGTGTGACCCAAACACTATACTCTCTCTGAAACATCTGGACTCCAGCCATAACAGCTGTACCACACTGCGGCGCTCACCGAACTCAGCTGGAGCTCCAGAGCCAAAGGCAAAGCTGGGACCCAGTGCCCTTTACTCAGAGAGGCTGATGAAAGCGCTGAGCACATGTGCAAAACAGGCACACATACGAATACAGAACCGACCCACACCCAGGCAGAAATGATACATCACGTCTCACTTAAGGCTGCAGTAACGTCGTCGCACACAGGATTAAAATCGCTCCACAATTATTACTGTCAGACTGTAAAACTACACACACTGCAGATTCATACTGGATTAAAATCACTCCACGATTATTACTGTAAAACCTACACACACTGCAGATTCATACTGGATTAAAATCACTCCACAATTATTACTGTCAGACTGTAAAACTACACACACTGCAGATTCATACTGGATTAAAATCACTCCACAATTATTACTGTCAGACTGTAAAACTACACACACTGCAGATTCATACTGGATTAAAATCGCTCCACAATTATTACTGTCAGACTGTAAAACTACACACTCTGCAGATTCATACTGGGTACAGTTTGGAGTAAAAGCCTTTTCTTTGATTGAGTTGAGAGGATACGAGGACGTGAAGCGAGGCCACACCCTCCATGCAGTCAGAGCAGAAGCAGAGCAGACAGCAGTGTGCATGCTGTAAATAGCAGCTGGATCTGGGTGTTTTTCACACCCTCCCTGCCTCAGTGTGGAGGGAGCGTGTAACTCACAGCATAGCAAGCTGGACAGCGAGCATCAGACTGACATCGCTTCATGACAAAACAAGTGTTTTTACTCTAAACTAAACCACACTGCCCAAAAAGCCCTAATCTTAACACACCATCTACATCAGCTTTGTCTGAAAATACACCACCTTCCGCACTTCAGAGAGTGAGTGCGAGTGGGCACGCGATAGAAGATGTCTAAAGAGGAACCCCACCCATCTCAAATCACATTACTACACTATTGTTTACTTCATAAAACTACACTGAAGGTGAGAGCTGGGCTGAGTTAGTACAGTTACTTTAAGTGCAGTTAGACAGACTATGTACCATCAGAGCTAACTGAGGTGTTGACTGGCTGTTGACAGAGAGAGTGAGAGCGTAAGATAAACCACATGTACTTTAAGCTTTTCTATGGACAATATCGATTAAAAGAAAAATAAAACTAAAAAATACAGTAAATTAAATGTCAACACTCGTGAGAAAATCTCAGATGTTTTCAGTTACCAATGCAGATAGAGTAAAACTATGGACAAAAATGAAAAAAGGATGGAAAAATATCAACAAACAAACAAACAAACAAACAAACAAATAAATGAATGAATGAATGTCAGTTTTGGTGAAAAAAAAAATTGTAGTTCTTTTTAAATAAGATTTGTCAACACAATTATGGTAAAACTATACACAATATAAAATACAACATATTAATATAAAAAAATGCAATAAATTAAATGTCAGTATTGGTGAACAATGTTATTTTTGCCCACCTCTTTTCCAATAAGAATTACCAACATATATATATATATATATATATATATATATATATATATATATATATATATATATATATATATATATATATACATTAAAATTATGGACAATATTAGTACTACTACTACTGCTCATAATAATAATTAATTAAATGTCAATACTGGTAATTTTTTACATTTTTGTCCAGCTCCTTTTAAACAAGAGCTACAAATACAGTTGCAGTAAAATTATGGGTAATATTGATAAAAAATTATGACGAAAAAAACCCACTAAATTAAATGTCAATAGTGGTAAAGTTTTGATTTTTCCCTAAAAAGTTAATGTCACTGCTTTACATGAAAAAATAATAAAGCAATACATTAAATGTTAATAAACGTAAGAAATATGGATTTTTGACCAGCTTTTTTTCAAATAAGAGTTACCAATACAACTGCATTCAAACTAGGGATAATATTGAATAAGAAATTATTTAAAAATACAATAAACGAAATGCCAATATTGGTGAAAACTGAAAATTTAAAATAAGAGTTATCAATACAATACAATAAATGAAATGTTGATATCGGTGAAATGAGATTTAGCTCCGCTGTACTAAAGGTCTCCAATTCATGAGCTGCATATTTCAGTCATTATCCTTAATGCTCATTTATTAAGCTCTAAAACCGCAGTACAGCCGTACTCGCTGTCCCGGACTCCCTCTGACAGATAATCACGCTTGTTTATGCGCGTCACCTTCACCACCAGCCGCCAACACCGCAGCAGCCACGCACAGGCCTCCATTAATTACTGTGTAAAACAGCAGCAACAGACGCACCTGATTACAGAGACTGAAACAGGAGAGGAGTCCAGAGGGGCTTCAGAGAACACCTGGACCACTCATACACACACACACACACACACACACACACACACACACAGACACAGACACATGCTGATACACACTCACACACACAATCTATCATCTCTCTGTCTCGCAGAGACGAGCTTCTCACAGAGCGCGTTCATTATTCTCTTTCACTACAGCAGCTTCCTTTCATTTTACACTCAAATCAGGCACAGTTAGAGTTTCCCTGATCCATCACACTGATAACGGCAATAACAAAAGCATGCAGCAATTTCACATTAATTATTTCTCACTCATAACTCATTAAAACAGACAGATTCTGCAAAAAAGTGCAGATTCAAAATCAAATCAAGTACGGGGAGAAACTGAATCAGAAGGTGAATCAGGAATTTAGTTAGGATTTGACTCAGAGGTTCACTGAATAATTCAAAAAGAAGATGAATCTGTTTTTTGAGCAAGGAATTTAATCAGAAGATGAATCAGGACTTGAGTAAGGAGTTGAATTATTCGATGAATCATTAGATGAATGAGTGAGGAACAGAATCAGACCTGGGTAAGAAATTGAATCTGGACATAAACAAGGAATTGAATCAGAAGATCAATCAGGACTTGAGTAAGAAATTGAATTAGAGAATGATTCAGGACTTGAGTAATACATTACATTTGGTTTTGAGTAAAGAATTGAATCAAAAGATGAATCAGGATAAGAGTAAAGAATTGTATGTGGTCGTGAGTTAGGAGTTGAATTAGATAATAAATCAGGAGTCGAGTAAGGAATTGAATCAGAGGATGAATCAGGACTTCAGTAAGAAACTGAATGAGAAGATAAATCAGGACTTGAGGAAGAAACCGAATCAGAAGATGATTCAGAACTTGAGTAATACATCAAATCTGGTTTTTGAGCCAGGAATTGAATCAGAAGATGAATCAGCTTTTCAGCAAGTAATCGAATCAGAAGATAAATGAGGACTTGAGTAAAGAATTTGATCAAAAGATGAATCAGGACTTGAGTAAGGAATTGTACGTGGTTGTGAGTTAGGAATGACTGTGGAACAGTCAAATCAGAGCACGTTTATGAGTCACTTCAGATAAGAGTGTCTGCTAAATGTTATAAATGTTAGTCAAACAGGAAAAGTAAGCAACGCAGGTCATTCAGAGTGCCAGCCCCTCACACTGGAGAAAAACTGATCAGTGAAACCCTGATTCAGCACTTGGAAACTCATTTGGCAACGTCCATCATGCACTGCATGTATAGCGGATGGGAGGAATTTCCCATGAAGTAGATTATGCTGATCTTAAAACTGCACTGAGCACACCCAGTCGATGTAGCCCTTTTTGTAGCATGTGATTTTTTAAAAATAGAGTTGCACGAACATGTTCACAGCCTCGTCTGAAATGTTCTGATGTTAACATTTGGGAAAAAATGAATCTATGGTGCAATAACCACATGATCCACAGTACTCTTACATTAAAAGCCTTAAAAAAGATCTGTTAACAGCATCTTATCTACATCTTTGACATATCCTGCATATTCATTTGCATCACTAAACCCAACTACATATAAATAATATACAAAATATGAAGCCGAGAGAGCCTCCATGGTCAAAAACTGCCCACAGATGAAGGGCTGGATGACTGAATGCAACTTGTGCATTAATAGGTGGGCTACAGTCTCCAACTGTACACCACCAAGTTAGAGGGGTTCCTAACAAAGTGACTGTGTTTACCCACCTTTTACCCCAGAACTGCCTCTAAAGCGGTGCTCTCTTACCCTCATGAAGGCTTGATGCTTGCTGCAGGTCAGTTCTCCATGCTTGGCCTTCACACGACCTGCCGTAACGTTGGACGTCCCATTTCCATGGAAATAGAAGCGAGGTGGGAAGGTCTCCTTGTGGTGAACGTCAGAAGTGAGGTTATACTTCAGCTCTGGGTAGGAAAGATGGAAAGACCAGAGTGAGGAAAAGTAAAGAGGATAAACACTGTAAAAAATAACAGCCTACATGTTACTTAAAAGGCTATGAGCCATGTTTCCTTACTTGGTGGCCCTGTAACGTACCCGAATGATGGAGAATGTGGAACCTCCTACCTCATCACTCAGTTGGGAATCTGTCATATTATCCGCTTATAATCTCAGGCTTATTACATACCAAGGCTTATTACTTAGTAACTACACAGACTACAATGCAAACTATCTGAGCTGTTCTTAGGTTATAGAAGTGTGTAGTAAAACTTTGGGCCGGCCAATGGGCTTTGGCCATTTAAGGAGTTAATAATTGAGCCCCTTCAATGAAAAAACATATATTAATCATTCCACCCTTTTTGGATTATTAGTGATTTTAAACAACCTTTTATATTAAAGAGCCAAACTATGCTTTATTTAAGTTTTAGTGACTCCCTAATTTTAAACACAAGGCATCAAACAGTGCTATACCATTCTTTAAAGGTTTTTTTTAAATTTCACATATACTGTTTTTGTCATAAGCGCTCAATTGCTGTTAATTATCTTTAATAGTATACATTCAAATACTATAATAAATAGATATGGGAATGTATTTTAAGATGTTCAATATGTTAAATTTTGTTCAATATTTTATGTTTTCTGGAACCGAAAAAAAAAGTTTTTACATATTTATATTATGACAATATTTCTACAACTGTGTTTATTTATTTTTACAGCTTTCTACATTGTGTTTGAAACATATGAAGCTGTAGAAAATCAACTACATATTAGACTTATACATTAATCTGTTACTAAATTGGTTTTATATTATTGAAAAAGTGTAAAAGTGCCAAATGTTGGGACGTCAGTATGTTAGTGTTCAATATACTAATATCAGTCCATAAAAGAAAATATATAAATGTATCATATCAGGGTCATTGATATGACATGTATTTTTGTGTCTATTATTTCCCCCTAAATTTCATAAATACATGACATATATCAAATTATTCAACAATCTCTCTTTTATGTGAAACAATCTTTACTGACATATAGATCCACATAAAATTGATTTTAGTTTATATATCCAAAACTCTAAAAATGACAGGTGGTGCAATCGTCCAATCGTATGTGTTGATTAAGTAAACTATCGAAACAATTTGGTTATATGAAATCCTAAATAAAATAGTTTGACATGATTTAATGTTTGTAAACTTATAAAATTAAAACCATGTTGTGAAATAAGGCAACTCTAAAAGTTCTCAACTCACTGAAAACTTTTGTCCGCAAGTTCTTACTTCCTCAAATGTCAGGAGGCACAACCAAAAACAAAGGACTTTTATTTTGACATGCTTTTACGAAAGAGGGGCCAGGGTAGCGCACTGTGACCGCAAGTGACCTTCATGGTGCAACACCAAGGTCATTAGCCCTTTCACAAATTTAGTATTAGTTCAGTTTACCTCGTAAGGTGGTGTGATCTCGGGAGAACCACTAAAATGTCTAATTATAATAATAATGTTTTATTTGAAACAAAGTATAAACTCAAGTTCACCCATTTCTACAGGTGTCTAAGTAGATGCCTGTTTAATTTGAAATTAGTCTGAAAAGTCAGGTGGCTCAACCAGAAAGTCAAATGGTGCAACCAGACCAGCACAGTTTAATAACTGAAATAGGCAGTTAACAGTTTTGATAACACTCACTAAATTAAGACAGAAAATGCACAGAGATATAAATCCAAATATATATGCAGATATAAAAATGCACATCGTGTCCTTTTTAATGGGATTTTTAAAAAAAAATTGAAAATCTTATTTGTGTGTGTATATATATCGTACTTATTGTTATTGTGATAAATTATGCCATAATATCTGAAAATATGTTTTTCTGAATATATTGTCAGCACCCATATTTGCATTACAAAGAGAGCATAATTAGTCCTGTTTAACTGCATTTAGTGCAGCACGTTATCTGAAAAGTTAAATACAATAATTGCATTCATAGTTTTTTATAGTAGTTTTAAATGGGGCACTACTTTGTCTGCTCCAACTTACCAGACATCAGAACAAAGCAAATCCACACATTCACAGTTTCCCTTTCTCTTCTTTGTGCTAAAGTTTTAGCACCACACCCATCTCAGTTCTTTACCAGAAAAAGAGGTGTGAGTCTGGCCTCTGAGCACAAAGCAGAAGTTCTCTCGGTTTGTTCCTCCACTACAGCTTCATATTCACTCCTCAAGCAGTTATTCAGCTGCAGCCTTGGTGAGAACTTGTAAATTAAGGTTGTAGTTCCCACAAGAGCGAAATGACAGAGATGCAAACACAAGTATGATGTACTGATGCACTGATCATTTCTCCTTAAATAAAGGTCCAAAGGCGCTCGTGGACCAGATGGCCGATGACTGTAGAACAGCCACCTGGCTCCTCTAATGACTGGACTCATCTAATGACGAGTTAGGCTACTGTAATGACTGGACTGAGAACCTCTAGCTCATACGGATGCTTAGAAAATCCAATAATCGTTTTCTCCATCGTCTAATGTAGTTTTGTTTAAGCCCTTAAATTCTCAGGCTTATTACATCTTAAGGCTTATTAAACAGTAATTACATAGGAAACAATGCAGACTGCTTGAATTCTTCTCAAGTTACAGGAGAGATGGAACTGAAGCCTGAACCTGCCAGCAGATCCAGGCTATTCAGAGGTTAAACAGTGCATTTCTGACTGAGACGTTTGACCGTGGTCAAATATGATTATGTCAGTTCTCCAATGTCAAAGAGCCTCATTCACCAATATCATGATGTTTGTTCTTAAATGTGTTCTTGAGAAAGGTCCCAAGAAAAAGTCTACACCTTTCACACCTTTGTGCTCTCGAGTGTGTAGATTCTGTTATTACCTAAGAACAAATACCTAATAAGAAAACACAGGTGGATGTCAGAATCTTCGTGAAAACTGCGTAAGTGGATTTTAAAGAAGAAACTTCAGAACAGTTGGTGAACGAGGCCCAAAGTTCCTAAAACCAGATGCCTGATTGTTTTTCCCAATAGTATCACATTCCTGAAAGTGGTTTTCTTACATATACCATTTAAAAAGACTCGAGACGGCACGATACCACTTTTTCTTTTCCAATACTGATACCGATACTGAAACCGTGAGAATCGCCCGATATCAATCCAGTATTTCTCTTTAACCTACTGACTTTTAAACAAACTGTTTTTAATTAAAGCTTTTTATTTAAGATGATAATCTAAAGTACACTCTTATAAATGATAGTTCTTCTTGGGTTCTTTAGTAAAGAAAGTGGTTCTATATAGAACCCTGAACACTCAAATTACCCTTTGCATGATTAAAGGGATCTTTGCATCATGAAAGTGTTCTTCAGATCCATGGAAAATGTGCTGTAGATGCTTCTATATAGCACCCAAAAGGGTTCTTCTGTTGTTAGGATGCCAAGCTTGTAACAAGAGAAGAACTCTTTTGGGTGCTATGTAGAACCCTGTTCAAAAAGGTTCTACGTAGAGCATCTGAAGAACCCTTTGATGATCCAAAGAACTCTTTAATGTTCTCTTTAGTGTCCATGGTTCTATCTAGTACCACTTAATAATGCAAAATATTATAAATTGTGTTTCACAAAAGGGTTCTTCAGATTGACCGAGAATGTGCTGTAGAGGGTTCTATATAGAAACGTTTTAAAAGGAGTTCTATACAGCACCAAATAGGGTGCTGTTTGACACAGTTTAAACCCTTTTTCATGTTATATAGAACCCTTTTTAAAAAGTTCTATATAGAGCCAACTACAGCACATTCACGATGCAAAGAACCCTTTAATCATGCAAAGGGTTCTTAGAGTATTCATGGTTCTATATAGAATTACTATATTTTTTAAAGCAAATTCTTGGCAGAAAGATACATTTTTTTTGGATTTATCACTATTTTAGTATTATCAACATTAAATATAAAACTCAGAAGACACATGTAGGTTCACTGGGGGTTTTGGATAGTAAATAAATTGGTTATAGCTACGTTGTGACCTCTGGTTCCTATCACCACCACTGTAAAGAGTCAGTAACTTTCTCTACAATGAAGCATTTCTTTACAACATCAAACCACTCAGAATGACTTTGTTTACATCTCAATGATTGAATTATGCAGAAATGTAGAACCACAGCAATATCTGCTTCTCGATCTTCCAGAGAAACAGAGCTTTGCACTCTCTGCATATGCAGCGTCCAAGTGGCTGAGCGGTTGTTGCTGTTGGCAATAACAAAAGCTTGGTGTGATTTGATATTGATTTCTAACTAGCAGTTCACTGAAACAAGCAGATTTTTTATCAGACATTTTATTATGATTTGAATTTGATGAAATGTTATTGTTTTTGCCATTTGCCCACATTGCAACAAACAGGAACAATAAAGAAAGTAAATGTATTGGCTTATTAAGTGTGTAGTTGACTACGGTATTGTGGAATTACATTGAAATGGCAGAGCCGAACTCTTAAATTCTATGGTTAAAAAAAATCAATGTCATCTTTGCGCAGTCAGGAAGCTCAAACTTCCAAACCAGGCTTCTCTCAGATCAGCGTGTGAGTCGAGCCTGGTGGCATAATCTACATTTCCCTTTGTTTACCCACAGAGCCACAGACTATCTAGAACAGGCCTTGACACATGGGGGTCATTCTAACGGCTGCAGCTCAGGGAGGGATGTAGAGGGGAGATAAGGCGTCGGGGCTGCGGGTCTGGGGCACTGCCTTGTCCTCTCAGAGCAACCCTGATAAGATATATCCTGTACAGGGGGATCCCTTTTTATACACAGTGTGAGAAACGTGTCTCTTCTGGATTATAGAGTTCGTACCCGAACGCTAAGCTGCTGTATTTGAACACAGGCACAGTTATCGGCAGCAAAAACAAAGGCACACTGTAATTTTATATGAAATATTACTCAATCAAAGCTCAGTAAAGCCGATGGAGAAATTGAGAAACAGAAACACAAAAAAGTCAGAAGTGCAAACTCAAACGTGTCGATCTAGAACGTGAAATGTAATGCTTTAGGTAATCATGGATTCAAGTACATATAAATACATCAAAAAGACAATAAGATTTAAAAGCTCATCAACTTATATGTTCTTCTATACTGACCAAGAAAGTTCTGAAAAAAGTACCTAAAATGGCTAATTTGGTATTGAATGTTGCATTAAAAGCACTGGTAAGCCAAATCGGCTTGTCTCCTCGTCTCTGCCAAACACTCTCATTCTCCACCAAACACCACTGATCCATGCCAAGGACTAACGTTCTCCAGCAAACACAATCATTCTAAACCAAACACCAACATTCTCCACCAAGCACCAACACTGTCCATCAAACACAGTCACTGTCCAACAAGCAACACCATTCTCAACCAGACACAATCATTCTCCAATAATTGTCAGTATTCCTCAATAAACACCAACATGCTCATCCAAACACCATCATTCTCTGCCAACATTTTTCAAACACCATGATTCTCCAACATACTCTACCATTCACCACCAAACACCAACACTGTCCACCAAACACCACCATTCACCACCAAACACCAAAAATGTCCACCAAACACCACCATTCTCTGTCAAACACAGTCATTCTCCACCAAACACCACTGATCTCTGCCAATGACTAACGTTCGCCAGCAAACACTATAATTCTAAACCAAATACCAACATTCTCATCCAAACACCAACATTCTCCAAACACCATCATTCTCCAACAAACACCACCATTCTTCACCAAACACAATCTTTTTTCCAGTAAGCATCATTCTAATGTTGCCATTTAGCATTACAGTGCTCCAGCAATAGAACCGACAAGCCAGTTGAACCAGTGTGAATGAGGGAGAACATTCTAGAACAGTGTGAATGGGAGAAGAACGTTCTAGATCAGTGTGAATGGAGGGAGAACATTCTAGAACAGCTTAATGGATGAAAACATCCTTAGATTTACATTTATGGCATTTGGCAGACGCGACTTACAATTTGATCGTTGATCATTGAAGGTAGAGTTAGGAGTCTTGCCCAAGGACTCTTATTGAGATAGTGTAGGCTGCTCACCCAGGCAGGGATTGAACCCCAGTCTACAGCATAGAAGGCAGAGGTGTTACCCACTACACTACACCAACAACCACCTTAGATCTTCAAAACAATCACACACAGGTTATGGGGAACGAACCCAAAGCTTGGTTCGTTGGTGCTTGATTGATCGATTGTTTTTAACAGCAGGTGTCTTACCTATTTGTCCAGGTATGCGCTTGCCTTGGACCCTAAAGCACACGGTGACATTCACACACACGGCAGGAAGGCCATTCTCAGTGCACGAAGCCACAGATCGGTTCACGCTGACCGGCAGCATCATGGACGCTTCCACCATCACCACTGGACGAGTCCTGGAGAGGACAGCACCAGTTTAAACTTCATACAATTCAGCAGAGGTCATCAGTCGTTACCTCTAGAGATATACAGTGACACTGAAAGCTTACAGACGAAATTGACTTCTTTAGAAATTAGATTCATAAAGCACTGGTATATTTATCTTTAACTTTATCTTTGTAATGAAGAGCAGATAAATAATGATTCGACAGTTTTCTTTTCCAAACTATTGTTAGAAGCACGTATTGAAACTTGTTTGGTCCAAAGGTGGTTTAAACACCTTCCAGGACTTTGACTTCATTCCTAAAGTAGGACTGTCACTAATATTTACACAAAAGATATTGTTTTGCTCTAAATAAGCCTGCTTAGGCTTTAAAATGTTATTGCAAGCTTAACGTAAAGAAGGAAACATGCTCATTAGAAACATTTAGATTAGCAAGGTGTTCTTAAACTGTTGAAGTGTAGTTTAGTTTACGATTTTGCCAAAAATATAACTTTACAACTCTTCAAGACATTTTCATGATGCAAAATCAAATATGTATCTCAATATCTCGTTTTTCTGAGGTTTAATAACTTGGAACAGAGTAAAAAATACAGTAGTGTCACATGTAAAACATATCAAAAACTATGAATACATTGATTTTTATAAACATTTCACTTCAACAGTGGAATAAAACAAGACTGTGTATGCTCTCTTTGTAATGAAACACGGTGGTGGTAGTACTGATGGCATCCACAGTAAGAAAAACGTAATGTCATGTAATGTAATTTATCATGATATCGAGAAATTCCAGCCCTGGTCAGCAGCCTCAGAAGGCTGTGATTAGCTGGATCAAGGATGTTAGATCTGGTTTGGAAATGAACAGCTTTGACCTCTGAGCTACAGACATAAATAGAGTAACATCTGCTTCTCTAGTTCCACAAAACTGCATTCATTAGGGCGTTAAAGGAAAAACCCTTCAATCAGCACTTTTACATTCTAATTTTTAACTTGCTTTTACTTGATCAGCAATTGCTACATGCTTTATACAACACAGGCTGCTTTCACACACCCAGATTAAGCCTAACTCTAGACTAAATGATCTTCAATAGTGAATTACCATTAGCACTGCAAAACAGTCCTAGATTAGCCTTAATCCATATCCATGGACTGTTTTCCCAGAACCAGATTAACTCTAATCATAGACTAAGGAAAATAATGCCTGTGTAATTTAGTCCAAGACTAGTTTTAAAATCTGTGTCTGGGAGACCAACTCTAGGAGTTATATTCGATCATCTTTAGTGAACAATATTATTGACTGCTTAAATAATTCTAACTGCACATGTTCTGATGGTTTTGCTCAACATAAACAGCATTAATTAACAGAATCCATACATTCAATAATCTATTGAGCCATGTTACAGTAAAACGTGTCTCATGCTGAGTTGCTCTTACCGGAGCACCGCTGCAGAATCGGAGAGAAAAGCTCCCACTGCCACATCTGCAAAAGAGAAAATAAGATGTGCAAATTAAAGTTATAATGTATTAACCCCTTAAGGCCCAAGCCTAGAAGTGACCATATAGGCATATCTTATATTTTTGAGTGTAACATGGTGCAATATCACGCTATCATGAAGTGATATATATATATAGACAGAAGCTTTTGAAAAGGGTTCTATATAGCACCAAAAAGGGTTCTGCTATTCTTACGATATCAAGATTGCAGCAATAGAAGAACCCTTTTTGTTGCTATACAGAACCCTTTTCTAAAAGGTTCTATGTAGATAAATACCAAATTTCCCTCACGATTTCTCTGATTTTTCTTTTTTATCCTGTTTCATAGTCGCTCTGCATCTGTAAAACAGCTCATCACATAACCAATTTTCAACATTTGAGAATTTTTTAATATAAAACAATAGTTTTAATTGAGGAATTTGTATAAAACAGATTGATGTTTACTTTCTATATTATTAACATTATAACACACTTAAAAATATGTATTTTATTTATTTTTTTTTTTTTCATTTGTCACAGAGATTTTGGTCACTGCTGTTATCAGAACTCTTATATTACATTTTAACACAGTATTTTCAGCTCTGTTAAACTGCTTCTTTGGTTCAAGGCTCATCAGAGAGGAAGCATCTCAAGGCATGAGAAGGCGAGTCACACTCGTTCACTATATTTCATTAATTTATTAATAATTTTGTTTATCAGGCAGCTCATAACTTCTATGTGTCACCGGTGTTATGTGCTTTAATGACTGGGTAATTAAAATTTTGTCAAAATAATGCCAAATATCATTTTTATTATTGATTTTAAATAGTTGCACAAGGTCACCTGATCAGCTAACGAGTCAGCCAGTTTACAAAATCCTCAGTTTTAACCAGAAAGTCACTGGAGTCACCGTCACTGGTGTTACACCATATTCATACAACACCAGTGACTGTAAAATATGTTTGGAATTATCTCCTTCCTGCATATATAATAATAGGAGATGTTAATGGACATATTGAGATTAATCAATGGAGAATGACCCACACACAAAACTAGAACTCAACAATATCTCCTCAGTCATAGTTACAAATGCATCAAATCATAATATCATGTCATCTTTAGTCACATGTACTGCTCTAAACTCCATGGAGATGCTGGTGAAAATGAGTTGTCTTGTATGTTTTTGAGTCTGCGCTGGTGTAACACCTCATATTCTGTTATGTTTTTCACCTACAAGTGTGATTAAAATGTGAGCTAACACAGAGGAGCTGATGAGCTTCTCATACTTTCTTATTTATGTGTGGGAAGCAGGTGCAAGTTGACGAGTTTTACAGGAAATCCTGTCTGTGTGTCTGATGAACTGCTCTAAACAACACTGTGAGCTGGGTCTGAGGAGACGAGGCTGCAGCCATGACTGACAGACGACTCGTACGTCAGTGTATGTAGAGACAGAACGTGAAGAAGAGTGAAGTTCAGGCATGTGAAGTTCTGCATTACTGTGTCATTTCCGAAAACTGGTAGTGAGAAGAGGCGTTACCTGGGTAACCATTGCCATCAACATCCACGCCTCCAGACACAGACTGGCCGAACATGCTGAAGCTGCTGCTTAACATGGAACCTGTGATCCTCTGCACACACACACACACACACGCACGCACACACACACACACACACACACACACACACCCTTTATGAGTCAAAATGAAGCTGCTTCTGCAGCTGCTCATAATAAATGGCACATTTCCTAACTGAAGGACCTGAAAAACAGCTCCTTTGTTCTCAACTCTTTCAGTCTCTTCCCTTTTACTGCCCAAGACTGGGTTAAACCAGTGTGATGAAAATAGCTGACACTGTCAAAAGCTGAGACGAACGAGATTGTCAGATTATCAACTTCTCACATTTAAAACTGTAAAGGCTCATTTATGCACAATGATACGGATGCGAATACGGACGGAGCCTTTATTTCATCTATAGTTTGTGCACGTTCTATGAAAGCTTGTGGATACGAATCGGAGCAGTACCACTGGATGCTGCTGGGGGGCAGTGCAGACAATAGTTAACGCGAGACACAATGCCAGTTTCTCTCGTTCGTACTATAAGTGAAAACAATTCTCCATCTACACAAAGTATTTACTGGCCTCACAGACACCACAGTCTACACGGGTGCCTCTTTCATCTCTTTCGTAGTTGGTACCATAGATATACATACCTAGATGCCGCGGTGGGTCCAGTCAACGGTGCCGCCATTTTGTGGAGGTCAACATCGCTGCTGGACTGCATTCAGTACCATTACTGAGCGGCAGTTTAATACAATTACTGTGCAAAATTACTCTATGTCAAGAAAATTGCTCTCAGAAAGTGGGAAGGATTATATAACGGAGGGAACGCAGCGATCAACGCTCATGTCTGAGTGATGTTGATGTGTAGATGTGGCTGTGTGGTTAATGAGGCACAGAGAACCTGTTGATTTGATTGTGTTTCCTCTGGTTTTATATTAAGCTTATTTCATTTAATAGTCTGTTCAGGGGGTCTTAACTTTATATAGTAGTTATTTATTTACAGTGATGGTTAAAGCTTTGTAGCTCTGTAAGTTACAGCATTCCTTGTAGATATTCATAATAGATTAACGTTAACCTTCTTACACGAGCCTGAAGTCAGCTTCTTATTCACCAGCTTCTTGTTCGAATTTTCCCGTTCCACCTTAAATGGTGCAGCTTCAGGCACCAGAAAGTGACTGCTGCACCATTTAAGGTGGAACCGGAAAACTCGAACAAGAAGCTGGCGAATAAGAAGCCAACTTTAGCTTCGTTCTTCTTGCTGTGTTTTGGGGGTTTATTTTATTTTTATGAGTTTTGAGATTAGAAGTGATTCACACATTGATGGATGTGTTTCTTGCGTTAAACTCAGGTTTTAACGTCAGGTGCAGACTGAACACTTTCCTCTGGTCCGGACGGCTAATTAGTACGCTCAGTCACCTGAATAAAACACCACCTATAGAAGCTAATCGAGGATAACCACGGGATAACGTCTTCATCTCCAGCCACAGCAGGTTTAGCCACACTGCTCCACAGGCCAGCGTCAACTATTTATGAGAGTTTAGATATATGGACACTGCACATGTACAAATTTGTGTGCATGCAAGTTTAAAGCTTAAAGCGTTACGCCGGTTTAACGTAAGTTTGTACTTAAGTGTGTGCGTACAGTCATTACAAAGATCCTCCTTAACACTAGTTAGTTTCTAATTATCCTTTTACTAACTTTGCTTGCAGCACAAATGCTTAACATCCTTTAAATGGCCAGGGCCAAAGTTTTATTCCACACTTCTATAATCTAAGAACAGCTCAGACAGTTTGCACTGAAGTCCCTGTAGTTACTGAATAATAACCCTTAGTAGGTAACAAGCCTGTGATTTTACGAGGTCGGGCCATGTCTTAATTACTAATGCGTACGAGACTTTAACATGAAGATAACATGTTCAGAGCCGATATATAAACCTGCTGCCATGGAAACGCAACAGCATTGTGCGCTGACTTTTTCCATGGGAACAATATCCAGTCTAGAAGAGAACAATGTGTACAAGTTGAACTGAATACAACTGAACACTTGTAGCCATTGTCTGCTTATTCTTTAACATTTCCTTGAGAAATATGCAGCTTTTTTCATCCACAATTTCTGGCCATCTGACACAACAGCAGCCTCAGTCTAGATGTTTCAGCAGCTGCTGAGTCTCACTGAGCTGAAGCTGTGATGTTAGTTTCATGTTTCACGTGGGTCTAGTTTCATGTTCAAACGTGGTGGTGTGTTAGTGTGTGTTGCGCTGGTCTGAGTGGATCAGACACAGCAGTAGCAGTGCTGCTGGAGTTTTTAAACACCTCAGTGTCGCTGCTGGACTGAGAACCAAAAACATCCAGCCAACAGTGTCCTGTGGGCAGCGTCCTGTGACCACTGATGAAGGACTAGAGGATGACCAACACAGACTGTGCAGCAGCAGATGAGCTATCGTCTCTGACTTTACATCTACAAGGTGGACTGACGAGGCAGGAGTGTCTAATAGAGTGGACAGTGAGTGGACACAGTGTTTAAAAACTCCAGCAGCACTGCTGTGTCTGATCCGCTCGTACCAGCACAACACACACTAACACACCTCCACCACGTCAGTGTTACTGCAGTGCTGAGAATGATCCACCACCCAAATAGTACCTGCTCTGTTGCTCAAAGGTTTAATAACACACTTTTATAACCTAAGAACAGCTCAGCCAGTTTACACTGAAGTCCCTGTAGTTACAGAATAATAAGCCTTAGTATGTAATAAGCCTGAGCTTTTAAAGGGTCAAACATGTTTTTTAGGCTTCTTGAGACCTTTTCCTTCAAGAAGGGGGAACCAACCGTTTCAGGAAATTGCAGCAATTCAAAAGGAACTGTCTCGATGTATACGGAGAGAGAGAGAGAGAGAGAGAGAGAGAGAGAGAGGCAAGGGAACAATGGGACAGCTGTAACAGGATGGGGTGGTCTCAGTGAACTGGAATATGGCGGGACAGGAAGAAAGGGAGAGGGGGAGCGAGTGAGGGAGGAACACTTGGCCCTGACCCTCCTCCTCCCCCTCCTACATTCTAGACTAGAGTATTGACATAAACAGCAGACATACCTGAGAGAACCTTGATGCTATGCCACTCTTCCTCCCATTGTAGATATAAATAGCCCCTCGCAGGTCGTCCTCCTGAGGCGCTCCGATGGCAACGTCTGAAACACAATCAGCGTCCGACGAACGTTAACAACACAAAAACCTGGAAACACTCATAATACAAACATCTGAAGTTAAAGGGCCCATATCCTACAGCCTTCTTCAATTTTATTGAACAAAAGTGTGTTTTTTTGTACCAAGAACCACCATAATTCATTGTTAGGTGGCCATTTTCTGACCCATATCTGTCCCAGGCTGTTTTTCCTACTGTGTCTTTAAGATTGATACACATACATGAGCTTTCTTTTATCAGTTTCAGACAAAATGTAAATGAAATCTGATTGTCTTGAGTGTTAAATGAATGTGCCAACTCCTCCACACTGCAAAAAATGGTATCGTCATTAAGAAAGATCTTAAATCTACTCGATATCTAATATTTCTAATTTTGAGATGGCTGTGCAATGATGATAAGGTTATCTACCTTATTATTTGACATTATTTACTTGCTCTTCACTGGACTGTCAGATAACGTTGCTGGTTTCAAGCACTTTTCCTAAAACAAGCACAATTATCTGCCAACATAGTGAGATAAATTTACTTAACAAAACTATGTAAAACAAGTGAGCAACGTCTAAAAATAAGGTAAAAAAAACTTGAAATAAGCTTACAGTAATCTCAACATTAAAAATATTAGATTTTTTGATTATATTTAAGATAATTTTACTTGACAAGATACCATTTTTTGCCATGCACTCACAGAATGAGGCGCTGTTTTCACATTTCAGTAACACTATCTCAGTTCTGATCAGCCCATATGGTATAAATTTTATATCTGCGTTGGCTTAATAATGACTTTGAGCTGCTGCTATGCTGGGTTTGATGTGTGTGTGGGGGGGTGGATGGGGGGTTGTTGTCTCTCAGACTTCCCTGAGCCCCCTGCCTAAAATTAAAACTCTTCAAATCGATCTCGTGATTTGTGAGCTGCTTATTCATCTCACAAAACGGCGAATATCAACATAAGGTGACGAGTTAGCACGCATGTCTGATTTACTGTCTTCCGTGGAAACCACAGTCAATAACCACAGCTCTGTGGTGGCAACCTCACCCAAATATGCCAGGCAAGTAGTTAGTAGGCGACGCTTGGTACTGCTAAATGAAAGTACTGATTTCAGTGTTACTGTGATTTTATTTCCCCCCCATAAATATAGTCGTGGGCAAAAATGAGTTATTTTACATGCCAGCTAGGCCTCCCCCGTCACACGATGAAGCTGTGAAGGGTAGCGTAAGCTCCTTCCGAGTCACATGAATCTCAAATTACAGCTAACGCAACCCCACTGGACAGCCCAAACACGCTTGGAGGAGAGCACTAACTGCTAATTCTGTATCACTGGGGATCAAACTCGGGAGCCTACTGTATTTCTAAATGCTCTATATTCTGAATCGATATGACAACATGAAGTCAAACATATCAATTAGTATCAAAGTTATTGTTATTAATACTAATACTAATGCAAATTTTTTTTTTCCTGACACATTGTAAGTTTATCACACTTTTTAAGTAGGCCAATTACTAACTGGCTTGATTTTAGCCAGTAAATTCTTCCGCAAGTGCCTTGAATACTTAACCGCTTTTCACAGTAGCCACAAAATGCCATTCCCTCCTGTGTTGGAGGTCCTTCGATTAAACGTTGCCCTTCTCTTTCTTCAATTACACTGCTGGAGTATAATATTCAAATGAAAGTGTTTGTGATTAACTATAAATAATAATAATATTTTCATATTCACAGATGCGCGAGCTATTTTTATTGTGTCATATATATATATATATACATATCTACAGGGCTGGATTTACTTTACTGTCGACTACCCGTTGCAGCACTAGCTTGAACTCAGAACGAACCTGACTCATTGACACTTTCAGAACAGACATGAGCTTCTGACACAAAGGCGCAGCATCGTGGTGGAAGTGGAAAAAAACTCTGCATGTGCAAAAGTCTGTGATGACGGTGAAGGAAAAGACAGATTGTGAGATAACACAACCAGAGAGTTTCAGTTAAACCACAATGAGGCCCAAGCATGTGTGTGTCTGAAAAGATTTAGATGTAGGAAAAGAAAAAGAGAGAAAGAGATCCTGTTATAGAGTTTATAATGCTGTTATAAAGTTATCAGGCATAACATTATGACCTTGTTTCTACGCTCATTGTCCACTTTATCAGCTCCTCTTACTATATAGGTGCACTTTGTAGTTCTACAGTTACAGACTGTAGTCCATCTGTTTCTCTGCATACTTTGTTAGCCCCCTTTTACCCTGTTCTTCAGTGGTCAGGACCCCCATGGTACTAGTTGGGTGGTGGATCATTCTCAGCACTACAGTAACACTGACATGGTGGTGGTGTGTTAGTGTGTGTCGCGCTGGTCTGAGTGGATCAGACACAGCAGTGCTGCTGGAGTTTTTAAACACCTCAGTGTCACTGCTGGACTGAGAATAGTCCACCAACCAAAAATATCCAGCCAACAGCGTCCTGTGGGCAGCGTCCTGTGACCACTGATGAAGGACTAGAGGATGACCAACACAAACTGTGCAGCAGCAGATGAGCTATCGTCTCTGACTTTACATCTACAAGGTGGACTGACAAGGTAGGAGTGTCTAATAGAGTGGACAGTGAGTGGACACACTGTTTAAAAACTACAGCAGCACTGCCTAGACAGATCATATGGAATCAATGCTGCTTTAAAATAACTGCAATTCTAATACAGCACAATTATGTTCCCTAACTAAAGGTGCTCAACACGTCCCACCCAAGTGACCGTTTACTACCGTTTTTTCCTGAGTATGAGGAGTGAAAGAGCTAGAGAGAGAGAGAAAGAGACGAGGGAGGGGAGAGAGATACAGAGAATGAGAGAGAGAGAGGGAGTGGGTTAGTGACCATATGTGTGTGTGTAGTTAGTGGCTGTCCTCCTCTAACCATGCTGCTCTCACTTCACCACTCCCCAACACAACACACACAGATAGATGCTCATCTCTGAACCTCACCCCACCCTCCCTCTGGGACACTCTGTACCGCAGCGCTCAGCGGATGAACTTTCCAAAAAAGCATGCAAATTAGTTGCAGAAAGGCTGGTGTATTTACCCCTTAAAGCAGTAGCTCACCAATAACATCAAATCTGCACAGTTTTCCCACTTAGCACAGACTTAGTTGATCTGCTAAGACAAGTTTGGTGTCTGTAGTTTGCTTCTTTAGTTTTGCACTGGAGCTGTGAGGGTTACTGAAGTCCAGGTGACCCCAAAGATATTCAGTGACAGATACTTCCATTATTTGTTAGCCACATTAGCTCCTATGTGAAACTAATGAAGGAAAACTTAAGACACCAAACATGACTTGGCAAATGAGACGATGGTTGGTAGCCGATAGCAAAAGCAGTGAAACTTTATATCAGTTCGATATCACAGCAAAAGCGGAAATGCCATGAAGCACAATTCTTCATTTAAATACCACATCAAATGCTAAACTTGTAAGTTTAAAGGGAAATTCTGACTCAGCTTCTTACTTACAACACAAACATAGCCACTTGATTCACTATGCAACACCACACATGAGCCTACAGTGAACTTACAGTTTTTCTTTGGGTACTATTTTGCCTCTCTGCCATGACTGTATTCTAAAACACAGGTATTAAAACAAAATATTCTCTAAAAACTACTGTAAAACAACGTCTCAGACGTCAGGGAGCATATTTGCAACCTTTTCATGTATTAACTTTCTGTCAGGGACATTTTAGAGGCTTCGGACGTCTGGTTCCTATCACCACCACTGTGAACAATTCAGACTCGGCAAGCGTCTCTTGAATAGCGCATTTCACACCAAACCACTCTGAATGACTCTGTTTGCATCTAATGCGGAAAAAATGCAAATCTGGTAGAATTGCCATTAAAGGCTAGAACGGCTGACTAAACATTCTGAAACAGGTCCCAAAAGAATTTGCTCAATGAACCAGTGTGAACAGGAGCGATCCGTCTCCTACCAACAGTCACACAAGTTTGGGTTGGTCTGGGTTGGTTTTCATCTGATGTAACATGATAGAAGGTCAGCACAGAGGTAACAGGTGCTTCTATTCTTGGACGAGAACTCTAACTAACGGCCGTTTGCATACTGGCTTTTGCATACCAGCCCACTATATTACCTTTCCTATCTGCCTCAAAGTATTTCCATACATTATCCTTTGCTGAAATAACACAGCAGTCGTGGTCATCGGGCTCACTGTGAAGTAACTTCACCAAACGCCCATTTATTCCCAGTAAACACAAACCAGGAATTAAACCACCGAGTGGTTATTTTTGGTGTTTTGCTGGGCAGCTGTGGCCGTCAGACTGAAGGCTTTGCCGCCTCTGTAAGCTTGTTGTTCATGTGATCAGTTGCTTCGTAACTCTTTAGAAAGACTTCATTCGTTTTATTTATTTTACTGTTACTATTTTATTTGTTTATATATATGATTTAGTGATCGTTCTGCTTATTTAGGCTATTCATCAAATTGTGGGATTTCTCTTTATATGTGCTTCAGTCCGCTCCCGCCTCCAGTGGGCTGGTTTCCCGCCCGCTCCCATGCACAACACTGAAAATTAGTCCACTGCAAGATATTGTGGCGGGTCCCACGGGAATCTGCAGGAGTACAAACTTCTACCTCAGAGCACTGCAAAATCTATGTGTGGAAATCGAATTGGAGATCGGGTCTTTGCTCTATGGTGTAAGCAACCAATCACAGTCAGGAGGAGGTCTCAGAACACACGCTGGTTAGGAGGTCTATTTAGCCGCCAGAGTAAACCATTCCATACAAACTCAAACCAAACTCAAAAGTCTGCTGGTCGTCATGGTGCTGCAGCAGTACCGGTCAGGACACTGTTTTTCTGCGGTGCCAAGATCTTTACTTGCAGTCAGACAGGACTGATGTACTAGTTTTACCACCTCTACTACAGAAAAAACAGGATGGTTCCATTTTTTTTATTTTGGAATTGAGAAAATTGAGGGAAATTAGACTCATTGCCAATTTATTTCCCATCTATTACTGTTTTAACTTACCAGGCTGCCTTAAAATTGTAATTCTTCTGATACAAAGTAATTCAGATAGGAAATTCAGTAGACTACTATAGAAGTTCAATACACACTAAAATTTAAGGCAACTTTTTTAAGTTGAAGCACGTATTAGAAAATAAGGTAGTGGTCACTAACTCTGCACCTGGAGATCAGCCGACTTCAGCTCTGACCTCAAATGTCCTTGCTTAGCTAAATGAGGTTACTGGATATGAGATGGAACCTGCAGGATGGCAGATCTCCAGAAAAAGGGCTGAAGACCACCGCTGTAAGTCTTGGTGTACTCTCACAAACTGGTCATTTTACCTGGATAGCCGTCATTGTCGATGTCTCCGAGGTCAGTGATGGTCTCTCCGAATCGAGCTGCGTAAGAATCACTTCCAACCAGCTTGAATTCTGCCTCCTTCATGTTTGCCTGGGAATGAAAACACATCACATCAGTCTTTTCCTTCTTACAGCGCAGTGTGAATAATTGATACGATGCCTATTTTCAACATATAGAGAAGATTAGCTCTTGCTTTGTGTAACAGCATCTAATTAGTCATAAGGCTGTTAATGACTGAAGCTATTCGTGTCACACTGAGTGGTGGAATGGAAGAATATGGCAGATTTCTACAGCTTCAGTAGAAAAGAATTTCACACTCATTTCTCAATGTCTGTGCTTTGTCACTCGCTATGCAATTTTCCTTATGTGTAAGTAGTTAGAGCAACGCTAGCATGTCTTTCTACATGACTGCCTCTTTTCTGTCTGACCCCAGAGAGTCTGACAGGTTTTTGTTGACCAAGAGCTGCACACTTCAAAGAGTAACTCCACCCTAAAAGTATTTTTATTCATTAACAGCTAAAATGCTCTGTTCTGTAATAATAAAATATACCAGCCATGCTTGAAATGTAAACACATCTTTCCAAACTGTAAAAATATCATTTTTATGGTGGTCAGTTCCGCCTCTGTAGTGCCCCCTCTGGTTCAACTCTGCTATAGGCACGGAGGACATGTCATGCGACTTTGGTCACAGTATGCGAATCAGTCAACCAACGTTACCGCCCCCTGATGATGCCCTCCTCATGCTGCGCTCATAAATATGAAAGCATAGGAGCCGAGAGCGAGGAGAGAACCACACTCACGTGCTGAGCTAAACACCCCCAGCACCACCTCACACAGTTGTTATGATTAGCACATAATGTAAGATTAGGCAACCTGAAGAACAGATCAAGTGAGGATTCTTGCAAGTCCCCGTTATGCTGGTGGTAAGAGCGTAAGGATTTACTTTATATCAGTTCGATATCACAGCAAAAGCGGAAATGCAATTAAGCACAATTCTTCATTTAAATACCACATCAAATGCTAAACTTGTAAGTTTAAAGGGAAATTCTGAGTCAGCTTCTTACTTACAACACAAACATAGCCACTTGATTCACTATGCAAAACCACACATTCCATACAAACGCAAAACAAACTCAAAAGTCTGCTGGTGGTCACGGTGCTGCAGCAGTACCGGTCAGGACACTGTTTTTCTGCGGTGCCAAGATCTTTACTTGCAGTCAGACAGGACTGATGTACTAGTTTTACCACCTCTACTACAGAAAAAACAGGATTGTTCCATTTTTTTTATTTTGGAATTGAGGAAATTGAGGGAAATTAGATTCATTGCCAATTTATTTCCCATCTATTACTGTTTTAACTTCCCAGGCTGCCTTAAAATTTTAATTCTTCTGATACAAAGTAATTCAGATAGGAAATTCAGTAGACTACTATAGAAGTTCAATACACACTAAAATTTAAGGCAACTTTTTTTAAGTTAAAGCACGTATTAGGAATTAGGATTTAGGGCCACTGCAACCGGATAACAGTCGCTTTATTCATTCAGAATTCAGTGCATCTAAGAAATCAGGACTCGGGTTATTTCAAATATGGACCTGCTGAACAGATGATTGGAAGGTAGCTGTCACGGTTTTAGGGAACGTTCTACCGTTCGGCGCCTCTCTCGGTCACGGCTAATCAATTTCTGGCACTACGTTAACTCTTTGGTGGCTTGAGTCAGTGGGTCATACTGTTAAGGCTCAAGACGTCCTGCCTGATCAGAAACACCTTCCCTCGTCGAAGATGGGGATGGTAGTGGAGAAAAAACTTCAACATGGTAAGACTCTCAGTTGAAAAGTGCCGTTTGATTCTGTCACTCTCCAAATTTCCTGGTAGCTAATGTTAGCTATAACAACACAGCAGCCCAGCCTGCCTGGTTTCCCTCCCAGCCCAACCTCCAACCCGTAGATCACTGCAGTGCCACCTCCCAATGTGCCCCGCCCATTTTTGAGTATTTTCCGAAGTTGAGCTGTGGAGTGAGCTGAAAATAGTGGGATGTAGTGACTCTTTAACAATAACGGCAACTGTTGATATGGGTCTGCAACAAAAACAGACCCGCATGAAACAAAGTGGTATGTGTCTGTAAACACAGGATGAACTATTGATTACTTTCTACTAAATGTAAAAAAAAAAATATTCCTCAATCTAGAGACTATATCAAACTCCAAAAGGCTCTATATTATCACAGTGTGCAGAGCAACTAGATAACATTTAGGTTGGAAAATAAAAGATTTTTCACAATGGATAAAATCAGTGTACAGAAATGTGTATGCATGGCAGAGCAGGTAGCCAATCAGAATGAAACTCTGACGATTCTGTCTGTAGCCAACTTAGAGTACAATAAATAGCAGATGGTCCTAGCAGATCCTCTGTGAGTGACATATCAAAGGATCAGCTTTGGCCTCTTTTACTTTTTCTACTAAAAGCTGTAGATTTTTTTTTGGAGGGGGAAAAAGCACTGTTCCTCATTGAGAGCAGACAGATGTCCTCATAACCAGAAAATGTTCATGTTTTCATCTTTTTTGGGGACATCTGGTCCCCACAAAAAGCTAAAAACACTCACAAACGCTCATACACACTCACTCATATACAGACTAGTCCTTGTGTTCCTTATGCACAGAGAAACTCACAGCCTGTGAGACTTATGAATTAACCATGACTTAACTGACAATTAGATCACAGCCAAAAATGGAAGAACTTCTTGGAACAGAAAGTCCACAAGCTGCTACTGTGAGGATCTAAATACCGAGGAATGGAAACTTCTGACAAAAAAAGCTTATAGATCGTCACTGCCAGAACAAAACCTTCTAACTCTGATGAACATTTAAGGGTCGATACACTATATTGTCATTGTACGTTTTCCCCTGAGACCCACTACTAACATTTGTGTGGTTTTATGTACCAAAAACAGTCATAATTCATTTTTACATGACCATTTTTCATTTTCTCTTTATGCCTCACAATTAAACAGACTTTCTGTTACTGTTCATTTAAGACTGATCTATGTAAATGAGCTCTGTTCTGATTGGCTGCACTGTGTCTTGCCTCATTCAAAAAGCACTTAGAGCTGAAACACTCCTTATAACTTAAGCGTCAATGGGCGGAGCTAAACTGCTGTAGGCTGAATAGGTGGATATATGTAGATGGATTGGGTTTCGTGACATCACAGAAACAGAAACAGGCTGTTTTTGCAGATTAGCCTGCAGATATGGACTGTAAGGACTGCAGAGTGAACAATCCGTTTTAAAACCTTTACAATGTTTACATGCAATATCAAACTCTACAACGTCTCTTTAATGTAACAAGATTATTTTTCTGAGAATGTTTTGACCATTTTTACTGGTCAATTAATGACATGTTCTGAATGGAAATAGTATTGAAAAAAGTAAAAAAGTGGAAATGACTGAGTTATTCGTGTTTTTGTTATAAAAGCAACAATATTTAAGTCAACAACTGCTTATATATATCGCTGTTGTTGGAATAAAACCTCATACCTCCAAAACTTTAAAGGAGAAGGAAAAACATACTTTAGTTTTAATGTAAGTCAATGGAACCAGAATTTTTTCTAAGGCTGCGTTTACACAGCAGGTAAAAGTGGCCCAAATCTGATTTTTTTGTTTGGCTGTCCACATTATCTTTTAAATGTGATCTGTATGTGACATCAGTCTGAACAGATCAGCTCCTAAACGGACCCGCATGGGCAAAGGAACAGTGCTTCACATGGCGGCTCGTCCAGAGGTAAACAGTCATGACGGCCAGCGAACGCCAGTCGCTCCCGCAGCTTTCAGTTTCGGCTTCGCCAGCATCACAGGAGCGATTATAAAGTTCCAGTGGTTGACAGCTGGACTCATCACCCACAGTGTGTTCGAGTTCGCCGTAAAAAGGGCTAGTTATTCTGCCATGGCCACTTCTTTAAAGTGTTCTCTGACGCTGCAGCCTCGGGCTCCTCCGGCCACATTTGGACATTTCATTCGAAACCTCTTCGATCACAGAGCGGTTTGATGAGTCTCTTCTAATTTTTTGGTACAGAAACATCAGACTAAATGTTTATGAGCCTCAGCAGTGCGAAATTATGACGAATGTCGAGTTGGACTGACGTAAAAGTCGCATGAATTCCGATCTGACTGTTCAGACTGAGTCACATTGCTGAAGATCGGATACGTATCAGATTTCAGTACCACATATGAAAGCGTCTCAAATCGGAATTGAAAATATCAGATTCAATGCGTATTTTGCTGTTCACACTGACACACAGACACACATCTGTGTCACATATGAAGAAAAGGTCAGATTTGGGCCACTTTGACCTGCTGTGTAAAAGTAGCCTAACTCATTTTGGGCCATTTCTTTTGGTCCATTCATCATGAAATTTACATACAATCTAAAGGGCAACAGGTATTTTTAAATTACGTCAAAAACTGACAAACAAGAGGTTTTGTTCCGACAGCAGCGATATGAAAGTACGGGGAGGATGGCTGCTGTAGCAGCTGGTTAATATTTGACATGGAGCCTGGGAACACAGAGCGCTGTTCTGTTAGTGCAGCCTTGAACGCTGAACTATCAAGAGGAATCAGGTGCTTTGGAGCCCTTTCAGACTGAAAAACATTTCTATGAGACCCTGTGGTCATCCAGAGTACAGAACATCTTCATACATTATCCCTTACATTACCAAAGTAATCAGATAATAAAAGCTCGCTGTAATTTTACATGAATTATTGACTCGTAGCTCATTATAACAGCTGGAGAAACTGTGAGAAAACTTCAATCCATAACACATCCATGCTTGAAAGCAGAAGAGCAGATATTGCAAAAAAAAAAACCAATACATTCTTGACGTTCTTGTCATTTTTGGTACTAAATCAAACAAACTGCATCAGATATGCAGACAGGAATGCGTCAACACAGAATAAATCAAATGCAAATGTAATTCATGCTCTGCAATTAAATATATAATTATGTAATTACATTTCAATAGTATAATAGTATAGCGAAAGGACATAATCAGTTGACACAGCAAGTTAAAAAACTGCATTATATTACTGTATAATTAAGCAAACAAAAGGGATAATTGTGAGTTTGTAAGCTAAGTTGCTGGAGGGTCTGTAGTTAGGGGCCCTATCAGCCTCACTCTCAGGCGTTTAGATCATTCAGAAGAAGCTGCAGTTAGACTCAGTGTGTGTAGTGAAGTGAGAGGTGGGCTGGTCCTCACCCGGCCCTGGTTGATGTAAACGTGCACGCGGCCCTCCTCTCTCACTGTGCTGTACATGGGGGCCCCAACCAGCAGGTCAGAAAGGCCATCAGCGTTCAGGTCAACCGCACATATACTCGCACCGTAGTAAGATCCAAGCTGCATTAGAAAAACAACAAAGCAACAAACAAAAAATAAACATTGTAGTTGATTTAAATGAGACACTGTGAAAATGTATTTCTTTTTTATTAACCTTTTTTGTCATTTTAGTTTATTCCCTCGGTCCACACTCTCATAACTACAGAACCTGCCCATTAACCCATAGTACATACTGAATAATTCATAGTGGTTAATAAAAAAATGATAGTAGATACTGAATAATTTATAGTAGATACTGAATAATTTATAATAGACACTGAATTATTCATAGTAGATACTGAATGATTCATAGTAGTTACTGAATAATTTATAATAGACACTGAATTATTTATAGTAGATACTGAATATTTTATAGTATATACTGAATAATTTGTAGTAGTTACTGAATAATTCATAATAGATACTAAATAATTTATAGTAGGTACAGAATAATTCATAGCAGTTACTGAATATTTTATTGTATATACTGAATAATTCATAGTAGATACTGAATATTTTATAGGAGATACTGAATTTTTCATAGTAGATACTGAATAATTCATAGTAGATACTAAATAATTTATAGTAGATACTGAATAATTAATATATGCGCAATCATTCATAGTAGTTAGTGCACAATTCATAGTAGTCACTGAATAATTTATAGCAGAAACTTAATAATTCATAATGAATGAACTCACCTGAGTACCACTGGTCTCATTAACAATCCTTAGTTTGTTCCCTTCAACTTCGAATATGTAAGCCTGCAGGTGGGAGAGATCGCATTACTGAAACCAGACACTTCATTTTCCAGACGCTTCACGTTTTATAGCAGTGGATCTTTGGTTAGACTATCAGACTCCGGCCTTATTCAGAGCAGCCTGACTGTAAAGGTTTTAAATGTTTTTTGTAAACTCTGCACATCTAAGAATAACAGACTGCTTCCTCTTTCTGCACAGATGGCAGGGAAAAAACATGACGAACACATGATATAAGAACAGCAATATCTAGCCTAAAATATATCCTGACCATATACTACAGTTTTTAAAGTGAATCGGATGGTATTTTTGAGTGTGTTTTAATGTTATAATCCCATCAGATTAGGAGAAATGAAATAGATTACATCATAGCAAAACTCCACATAGCCAGGCTATTTAAACAGCTCATTTTTCATGTCTGGCTCTCAGCAGGAATGCACTATATGCACCATGCACAGCCTCGCCCTGCCATACAGAATAATTTGCAGAGATGCAGCACTGTCATATTACACAAACGCGCTCTACGTCTTTTAGTGAAGTAAATGACAACAACCAGTCATACGGTCTGTTATTACATACATATATAGTAGTGATGTATGATGATACTGGAATCACATCAGTATCGGCAGATAATTACTTTAAAAAAATGATCAGCACTGGACGGAGGTTTAGATGGTTTTTAAACTGATTTGTTTATTACGTATAAATGCAGGTATAAATTGTGAAAATGGATCAGCATCAGCAGAAATTTACACATAAAACATCAGCCCACAATTCTGATATCGGTGCATCCCTACTATTGAGTTGTATGTAAAAATCCCTGGGGAGGTGGAACTAAGTTCCATCCTTTAGAGATAACATACTTAATTAAATATTGCATTTTCCAGTCATTTTTGGTGCACAGTTTCTATTTATTTGCTGGGTTTAACATATTGGAAAAAATCGACATAAAATATTAAATGTGCCATAACTTTTGCAAAGGACACAATTTGCTTTTTACAGTAAAGCTTATTGAATTAAACTGGATGAAAGTTAAGTGTTTCTAATAAAGTGGCCAGTGTGTGGAAGGACAAGGTAGACGTTTCTAATAAAGTGGCCATTGAGTGGAAGGACAAGGTAGGTGTCTCTAATAAAGTGGCCAGTGAGTCGAAGGACAAGGTAGGTGTTTCTAATAAAGTGGCCAGAGAGTGGAAGTACAAGGTAGATGTTTCTAATAAAGTGGCCAGAGAGTGGAAGTACAAGGTAGGTGTTTCTAATAAAGTGGCCAGAGAGTGGAAGTACAAGGTAGATGTTTCTAATAAAGTGGCCAGTGAGTGGAAGGACAAGGTAGGTGTTTCTAATAAAGTGGCCAGTGAGTGGAAGTACAAGGTAGATGTTTCTAATAAAGTGGCCAGTGAGTGGAAGGACAAGGTAGGTGTTTCTAATAAAGTGGCCAGTGAGTGGAAGGACAAGGTAGGTGTTTCTAATAAAGTGGCCAGTGTGTGGAAGGACAAGGTAGGTGTTTCTAATAAAGTGGCCAGTGAGTGGAAGTACAAGGTAGGTGTTTCTAATAAAGTGGCCAGAGAGTGGAAGGACAAGGTAGATGTTTCTAATAAAGTGGCCAGTGAGTGGAAGGACAAGGTAGGTGTTTCTAATAAAGTGGCCAGTGAGTGGAAGGACAAGGTAGGTGTTTCTAATAAAGTGGCCAGTGAGTGGAAGTACAAGGTAGGTGTTTCTAATAAAGTGGCCATTTAGTGGAGGTACAAGGTAGGTGTTTCTAATAAAGTGGCCAGTGAGTGGAAGTACAAGGTAGGTGTTTCTAATAAAGTGGCCATTTAGTGGAGGTACAAGGTAGATGTTTCTAATAAAGTGGCCAGTGAGTGGAAGGACAAGGTAGGTGTTTCTAATAAAGTGGCCAGTGAGTGGAAGGACAAGGTAGATGTTTCTAATAAAGTGGCCAGTGAGTGGAAGGACAAGGTAGGTGTTTCTAATAAAGTGGCCAGAGAGTGGAAGCACAAGGTAGGTGTTTCTAATAAAGTGGCCAGAGAGTGGATGTACAAGGTAGATGTTTCTAATAAAGTGGCCAGAGAGTGGAAGTACAGGGTAAGTGTTTCTAATAAAGTGGCCAGTGAGTGGAAGGACAAGGTAGGTGTTTCTAATAAAGTGGCCAGTGAGTGGATGTACAAGGTAGATGTTTCTAATAAAGTGGCCAGAGAGTGGAAGTACTGGGTAAGTGTTTCTAATAAAGTGGCCAGTGAGTGGGGCAACAAGGTAGGCGTTTCTAGTAGAATGTATGTATATTGACAGCAAAGCTAAACTGAATGAACTGAACTGTCCAGCAATAAACTGAGCTGAACTGAACTGAATTAAACTGAAGAGGAAGCAGTAAAGGTGTTTCTTACTTTACCAATCCGGCCGTTTTGGGGCGCACCCCCGACTATCTCCGTGGTCTGTGGGTGAAGGAAGTGACCAGCGCCCACAGAGTAGCCTGCAGGAGAGAGAGCAGCCTGTTAGCTCTAATGAACAGTGGACTGGATGAGAGAGATCATTAACATCACATCAGTACTAACAACGAAAGAAGGAAGAACTAGAGCAGTCTAGCTTTAGCTTTACAATCTCGGAGAGGCACCTCAGACGGGTTTGATTTTTTACGACTTAAAGCATTTACGGGTCCTTAGAGTGAGAAGGATCTGCAATATAACCAAACGAGAAGCAACAGCCAGTGGAAGAGCTAGAAGAGAGAACGACAAAGGTGAAGGGACATGTACAGTCATAGGCAAAAGTTTGGGCACCCCTAGTCAAATTACATGTTCTGTTGAATTTCTGAAAGAAAGTATATTAACACTTTTACTACAGAGAACACATTTAAAGGGGGATTCCACCAGATTTCTACGTAATTTCTACATAAAACCACCACTGTTTTAAATTCTGACTCTGTAAGTTTATCTAGAACAGAGCATTTCACTCCAAACCACTCAGAATGACGAATGAAGTTCAAGTTCAAGGCACTCGCTGTACAGTTTCACTTCTGTTTGCCAGTTGATAGTAAAACTTCAGCTCTTACTACAAAATAGAATAATAGCCAGTTTCCTCAACCACAGTTTCACCCACTGTCTTCACCGCGTTTCTTATGTCAGCATAAAAAAACAGTCCAGTCCAGTTTCAGCTTCATTACCAGCGTGATAACAGCAAGACGTGAGACCTTTAGTGCTTATTTGTATTTCAAACTCGTTGTGTGTGCTAATTCCCTCTAGGAATCCACCAAAACTTCAGTCACTGAAAATTTACAGCTGAAAATGTTTTTTAAAAAATGGCATTTTTGGTTTTGCGCTAAAAAAAAGGCAATTTTTTATACTGTCAAAAAGCTTAAATAGGCCTAAATCAAAACACCTAAACACATTACAGCTTACTTTAATGATAAAGAAAATAAGAAAGGGTAAATAGTGATTGAAAACACTTTCTGTTGGTCAGTGCAGACACGTTTAAACAGTCCGAGCTGCAGCAGATCAACAGTGAAAATATCAGCCCATTACAGGAACATTAGAAAGAAGATTTAAGTTCTCTGCTCCTGCTGAGTTTTAGGAGGAGATATAAGTATAATACAAAAAGTTCTCCTCCAAGTTCTTCTGCAAAACAGAAGCAGAAAGGAAAAGCACAAAGTAGAACTAAATAATAGTGGAAACTGATTGCCTTGAGTGACCCATCGCTTTCTGTGAACATACAGTGCTAATTTTAGAATTTGTGTATTTTATGTAACTGTTTTTATTTACATCTCAGTTTTGTCATAGAGAAAGGACTGAATATCAATCAATGAATAATTAAAATGTTTTTCTTCATTGCCATGCAATTTTTTATGTAATACAAAAGCATAAATAAAAAAGCAAAAAAAAAAAAATCCAGTGCATTGTTATTATTTATTAATAAAACCTGAAATACTACAAGGTAATGAAAAAACATCACAATTGTCGCCACATAAATTGCTATTCTAAGGGATCTTGCTCAATCTGGCAACCCTGACCAGGTTGCTGAGACTGTTTGAGTAAGAGCACTCTCTCATTTATTTTGAGAAATTAAATGCAGTGGAGAGCCTCAATATTGACTGAAGCGGTTCCTCCTTAAATGGACAGCTGCACCATTGTTTTTTCCAGTTTTCCTCTTTCCTTTAGCGTGTTCTATAACTTTTTGTGCATTCATCAATCTGCACAGTCACAAAGCTTAAAGATCGTGCCAAGACGCTTTCAGGATTTACTCTGGCTCAGACTGATAAGGCAGAACCGACGCCGCTGGAGAAACAGCCACAGCGGAGTTTACAGTTGCTCAGGAGAGAAGGGTCTGTCTGCAGACTGCAGGACAGGGGCGGAACATGGAGGGGCGGAACCACTCAGAACAGATCAGACCAATCATAACAGAAGAGGCTAGCTGACCAATCAGAGCCCCCTGGGCTCATCAGGAGGCGGGGCATAAAGACACAGGAGCTCTAACAGAGCGTTTCAGACAGAGGGTGAATAGAGATGAACAGTAAGAGGAAAAGAATGTGTTTGTGGAACTCTGACGCATGTAAATCTTTTCTAGTAGATCCCAAAAATAAAATTCTGAACATTGAAAAAGTTCCCTTTTTTATGGTGGAACGAGAAGTTCATCATCTCCTCAAACTCGAGCTATAAAACAGGAACCACCTCTGACTGCTGCTGAGATTTCACTGCAGCTTTATAGGCAACCATTTAAACAACATGGAAAAAAAACCTCTAATCATAAATCACTGTCTTTAGATACGATGCTACTGTGTGCTGTTGATCGTTCAATGCATTAAAACACACACTGCTTTCATGAAAACAGATAAAAGTAAATTATTTTAAATGCATTTTTGTTTTAGAATATTTTAATTACTGAATTGATTAAATTTTATCATATATTCATCACAGGCCATCATCACTCGTCCACTCCCTTTGTCTAATCGCCTTGCGCGAATGCCCTTACAACGAAAAGACAAGTCATTCCGTAAAAGACTGTCGTCAAGTGTGAGCTTCTCTCCATTTCAAAGTTTGTTAGGACTTTCTGAGTCTTGTAGTTTACACCCACATATCGCTGTTGTCGTAAGAAAACCTCGTATCTCCAAAATGGTAACTTTACAGGAGAAGGAAAAAACCTACGTTACTTTTAATGTAAGTCAATGGAACCAGACTTTTTACCAAGTCATTTTGGGTTGTTTCTTTTAGTCCATTCATCATGAAACTTACAAACAATGTAAAGAACAACAGGCATTTTCAAATTACGTCAAAAACTGAAAAACGGCAAAAATGGAGATACAAGATTTTCTTATGACAACAGCGATATATTTATAGAGGACAGCCGTAGAAGGTATAGAACGAAATCTTTCAGAGCATACAGGCTTTTGTTTACAACCTGAATTTGACACAAAACAGAACCGAAAAGACATTGGCGGCTACAACTTAGCACTCAAGAACACAGACATGGGACAAAAATGTCTAAAAGTAGCACCTCTCTACACGTCAGACCACGTTTTCACAGAAATGAGGCCACACTGACTTGACCACATGACTCGGAACATGACACAGCAGTATGCAAAAGCTTGGGCACCCCTGGTCAACTGACATGCTTTGTTGATAAATAAGTTAACATATTCCCTACAGAGAACACACTTATATATGAAATAATAATAATAATAATAATTATCAATATGCAATTTATCTGCAAATTTTAGTGCATAATTCTATTTATTTGCTTAAAAAGAGTTTAAAATAAATTAAAAGCTCTTAAATGAGCTTTTGCACAGGACACACTTTTATATTTTTGGTTTAAATCTTAATGCAATCTCTGATTTAATTAAAAGCTCACATATTTGAAGTTAAAGACAGCATAGTAAAGATTGTTAATGACACCAGTGGTACTCAGGAGATAAAATATGGCATTCTAAAGTAAATTTGAATGTACAATTTCTCTTTATTTGCTGAGGTTACCACAAAAATTACAATCTAAAATACACACAATCTCCTGAGTTTTGCACAGGATGCATTTTATCATATTTCCAATATGTTAAATTCAACAAATAAACAGTAATGGTGCATTAAAATGTGCAGAAGTGTGTTCTTTATAAAGAAAATCAACAAAACGTCATTTGACCTGGGGCGCCCAACTTTTACTTTTAACACAAATATAATCCTGTTGTTTGTTTACCAAAACTTGGTCCACAACATGCAAATTTAGGCAAATGCTGGTTTCTCAGTGGAACCTAACCCGGCCTGTTATAACTCTTCTGAGCTCGCCGCAGGCTCCTGCGCAGCAGCTGCAACACTTGCACAGAAACAAGTTGCACCTTATGGTTTCCTGAGAAGCATCTTGAGGCAAAAATAGCAAAAAAAAGCTTATCATTCACTGCCAGCGGACTGAATGTGCATGACTAACTTTGTATGAATTTACAGCAAATTTACAGCCAAATTGTGTTTACTTTTTAAAATTATTAAAGCCTAAAAATAGATGGAAGGCACTTCTGCATTCATAACAATTTCACAGCTAATTAAGGCAGCGTTTTTCAACCAAATCTGCAGCATCTGTAGCATAAAGTCAATTACCATGGAAATGAACTTCACGTTTCCTTGCACTTAGAAAAAGAACAGAAACTTAACAGAACTGTTGAACTAAGACACACACAGTCCAAAAGTCTGAGACCACTAATTAAAATGCTTTTATTTTGCATTATTTTCTAACTTAATACAAATTAAATTAACAGCGTTACAATTACAGTGAAAATGGAATCTTGGTAAAATTTACATGGAGTCCAGAATTTCGTAGTATTTGGTGGTCTGCCCCTCTTTTGCTTTAATGAGTATGTATTCAAGCTGGCATGGACTTCAAAAGTTCACATGCAAAAAAGAGCAGCTCAAACCCACCTGCGGGTCGTCTGAACTTCAAAGAAAGACATAAGACTAAAAAAATGGGAAAAAATCTGATCTTTTTGTGCTAAGGCCTTTAAGGGGAACTCCACCAAATTTTCCAAACATTCTGCACAATTAAACGGTTAAGATGTAAACAGAGTCATTCAGAGTGGTTTGGTGTGAAACGCTCTGTTCTAGAGAAACTTACCGAGTCAGAATTGCTCACAGTGGTGGTGATAGGAACCAGACATCCACCTCTAAAAGCTCCCTCACAGAAAGTTACTACATGAAATGGTTATGAATTCACTGCCTGAGACATTGTTTTACAGTAGTTTTGAGATTAAGATGAGTATTTTAATACATTTATTCTAATCTGTTCATGGTGGAGGGATACATGTAGGGTGTTCTAAGGCAAAATAATCCCCAAAGAAAACTCTTTTCTTCAGATTTACCAGTATTTTACCATCATCATCATTCCATATAAAGCTCAGAAGACTCGTGTAGGTTCACTGGTGGTTTTGGATAGTAAATAAAATGTCTATATTTGTGTTGTAGTCATGGCGGCCCCTGGTTCCTATCACCACCACTGTAAAGAAATCTGAGTCTCTACAATCAACCATTTCACACCAAACCACTTTGAATGACATTGTTTACATCTCAACCACTAAATTATGCAGATATTTAGAAAAATTGGTGGAATTCCCCTTTAAAGGACCAATAGCATCGAAAACCAAAACATTCCTTTCACTCTTAAGTCCATATATGGAACCCAACTGCAAAACCAACAAATAACATTGTATTTGTGATGTCATGAAAACCCAAAACACATTTACATCAACCAACCTATTCAGCTTACAGTAGTTTAGCCCCGCCCACTAAACCTGAAGCAATAAGGTGTTTTCCAGCCTAGACCGATTTTTGAATGAGGCACAGCTAATCAGAACAGAGCTCATTTACATATATTGTTCTTAAAGGCACAGTAACAAAAACAGCTGGAGGCTGGAACAGTCAAAATTTTCACTGTTTTTGGTATATAAAATAACAGACACATCATAAGTGGACTATAAAATGCAAGAAAAAGGTAGGACAGAGGCCCTTCAACATAGCCCTTCAACATAGCCCTTCAACATGGCCCTTCAACATGGTCCCAAATTTGCTTAAATTTGAAGCAAGAAAGCAGAATCTTGAATATTTCTTCCTCATTTTATTTACTTTGTTTAAAATTTTTCAAAGTTTAAAAAATATATTTGTTTAAATTAATTTTGAATTATTTTTCCTATATTTTTGTCTGTTTCCAATTTAAATAATTTTAAAAACTCAACTCAATTTTTAAAAACTCAACTCAATTTTTAAAAACTCAACTCAATTTTCAATGTGGTCTCAGATGTTGCCCTTGGGTTTCTGTTATAAGTATGTTTTGGCCTGAAATGAGCAGCAAAAAAAAAACACAAACTCAAAAAATGAACGCTATGACTTACCAAGATAGCTACCAAACTGCACTGTATTATCATCATCCACATAGGCAGCAAGCACGTTGCTGGACTTGTTGAGGACGAGCACGGATCCCGTCCAGTACAAACTGCCCGGAGCCCCCATTATCATCAGGTTCTGCATAACAAACAAACAGATCATGAAACATCTTCAGGGACCACAATGATTTACTTCTGTTATTACACAAGTAACTCCTTTGTTTACGAGGTCTCAATCAGTCGATTTAGTTCATTTATTACATGATTGACGTCATGGGATAACTTCGTTGCTGAGACTCTTATGACGTTTTCTCCTTTATCATATAAATTGCGTAATTTCTTACTATCCTGGGACTTTCTTCAGCTCTACAAACTACTAAGCATATCAACCCTAAACATCACACACCAAAGGAAAATTGTTTATGGCTCAAGAATGAAGTTCATGGACAAAATATAAAACGTGACATCAGCACAACTGTCTTTAAGTTTGTTTTGTTTCGGTGAGGATTTTGTTGATGAAACCCTTTTCATTCATGCGCAACTGAATGAAATGAGTGAATCTGAAGTACCACATTTTTCATTGCATAGAAATAGAATGATCAAAAACATGCTGAAAACATTTTTAGTCTGATTTTATCTGGATCCCCTACAGCAGATCTACACATTCTCCGATTATTAACAAGCTATCTTGATTGACAAAAGCATTTTGTGAACATTAGATTTAGTTTTAGGACTGAGTTTAAGGTTAGTGTTAAAGTGAGTGTTGGGTTTAGGCTTAGGGCTGAGTTTAAGATTGGACTTGGAGTGAGTATTAGGTTTAGGGTTGAGTTCAAGTTTAGACTGAGTATTCATTTCAGGGTTGAGGTTAAGTTGTTAGGTTAGGTGTTAAGTTTAGCGTTAAGGTTAATTTAGAGTTAGACTGAGTATTAGGTTTAGGGTTTAGGTTAATTTAGAGTTAGACTGAGTATTAGGTTTAGGGATGAGGTTATGTGTAGGGTTAGACTGAATATTAGGTTTAGGGTTGAGGTTAATTTAAAGTTAGACTGAGTATTAGGTTTAGGGTTGAGGTTATGTTTAGGGTTAGACTGAGTATTAGGTTTAGGGTTGAGGTTATGTTTAGGGTTAGACTGAGTATTAGGTTTAGGGTTGAGGTTATGTTTAGGGTTAGACTGAGTATTAGGTTTAGGGTTGAGGTTATGTTTAGGGTTAGACTGAGTATTAGGTTTAGGGATGAGGTTATGTTTAGGGTTAGACTGAGTATTAGGTTTAGGGTTGAGGTTAATTTAGAGTTAGACTGAGTATTAGGTTTAGGAATGAGGTTAATTTAGAGTTAGACTGAGTATTAGGTTTAGGGTTGAGGTTAATTTAGAGTTAGACTGAGTATTAGGTTTAGGGTTGAGGTTAATTTAGAGTTAGACTGAGTATTAGGTTTAGGAATGAGGTTAATTTAGAGTTAGACTGAGTATTAGGTTTAAGGTTGAGGTTAATTTAAAGTTAGACTGAGTATTAGGTTTAGGGTTGAGGTTAATTTAGAGTTAGACTGAGTATTAGGTTTAGGAATGAGGTTAATTTAGAGTTAGACTGAGTATTAGGTTTAAGGTTGAGGTTAATTTAAAGTTAGACTGAGTATTAGGTTTAGGGTTGAGGTTAATTTAGAGTTAGACTGAGTATTAGGTTTAGGAATGAGGTTAATTTAGAGTTAGACTGAGTATTAGGTTTAGGAATGAGGTTATGTTTATGGTTAGACTGAGTATTAGGTTTAGGGTTGATGTTAAGTTTAAGGTTAGACTGAGTATTAGGTTTAGGGTCGAGGTTATATTTAGGGTTAGACTGAGTATTAGGTTTAGTTTTAGGAGGAAGTTAAGATCGAGGTAGGGGCTATAGTGAGTATTAGGTTTAGGTTTTGTGTTGATGTTAAGGTTAGTGTTAGACTGAGTATTAGGTTTAGGTTTTGTGTTGATGTTAAAGGTTAGTGTTAGACTGAGTATTAGGTTTAGGTTTTGTGTTGATGTTAAGGTTAGTGTTAGACTGAGTATTAGGTTTAGTTTTAGGAGGAAGTTAGACTGAATATAGTAGATATGTTAGTGGAGTGTCTGTCAAGCATCTACGATGGATCAACTGTTGCTCTTTTCCATTTCTTTTGCCAAAACAGCTGCACAGTTGGACAATTATCAATCGTATGCTAACCTTCATGCGACCTGGAGAAGCCAAGAAGAGAAACGAGTCTTACCTCAGTAAGGAAATTTGAAATTCCAGCCTGGCAGGATCCATAATCTTCACCAAACTTCCTCTGATGATCTGTATAAACAAACACCCTTTTAGATAGACTAAGCCTTTGCTAACCACGAAGCATCTCACACATATCAAACATATCAACATCTCACATCTGATCACCCTAAGAAGAGCACTGTACCTCTATAGCAGGGGATGTAGTTGGTTGTCTGGCTAAAATCGGAGTTGAATTTGAAGCACACACCATGAGGCAGCTTGTTTTGATTGTCTTTTCTGGAGAAGAAGACATTCTTCCAGCGATGACCACAGGCCTGAAATTAGAACCAGTGCACAAACGCACACAAAACATGCTTTTGGTTTAGACGTAATGAGTTACAGCCTCGGCGAACCTCTCAGAACCTCTCTACTGCCCTAGCATGACTATCAGATGAGATGCTAATCGTGACAGAACTAGCCATTCTCACCCAATGTTAAGATCGAGAATAGAAAAGATGGAAAGGAACTAAAGGCAGAAACAAACTAAAACCAGTGTTACGTTACAAATGTCATTAATAAGTTCAGGTAGACACATTTAAGGGCAGGTACAGTTCAAAGAAAGGCCATTTCAAGCAACTGGGTCCTCTGTTGTTGGCTAACGTGGGAAGGGTAAACAGTATGATATCATCGGATACATAGGCTGTGTTCAAAATACCCTACTTCATACTGCTGGCGTACTGATTCTGCCCGAAAGTAGTTAGTAGTACGGAGCCCTGCTGGTGACATCCTGTATAAATAAAAATAATGCGTGGCCACGACTTATTAACATGTGGGAACGAGATCCTAATGCGTGGCCACGGCTTAGTAAGGTGCGGGAATGAGATGATTAAGTCGTGGCCATGACTTAGTAAAGCATGGGAACGAGATCCTAAAGCATGGCCACGACTTAGTAAGCCGTGATCTCGTTCCCATGCCTTACTAAGTCATGGCCACGACTTAATCATCTCAGTTACTGATTACTAAGTCGTGGCCACGCATTAGGATCTCGTTCCTACACGTTAATAAGGCGTGGCCGCGCGTTATTTTTATTTATGCAGGATGTCATCATCAGGGCTCTGTATAGTAGTATGTAGTATGTGGTAAACATGAACTTCTCAGTACGCCAAAGAAACCCGGATGACACACTGATTTGGCAAAATTTTCCCATTCACAGTCAGAGCTGTCTGTCTTTGTGATGTACTGTATCCCACAATGCAATATGGCCATTTCCGGAGGACATACCCACTGATAAAACCACCTGGATATATTTAATAGCTGCGTTCCAAAGCCTAGGCTCCATTTCTCGGCCGCTAGATCATAGAAGGCTGTTCCAAAGTAAAGGATCCTTCATATACAGCCTAGAAATGCAGCCTATGTTTCGGATTTCGGAAAAAAAACAGCACCATGGCCTTATAAAGTGTAAAATGATTGATTAAAGCATTCGTCCATATATCGTATTTTAATCAGAAGTATTTGTATATATGTAGTCTGTATATGTAGATTATCATTCTGCATAAGCTTGTTGGTGTATTAGCTGCAATAGCAACAAACACAAGGCAGCGTGGCGCCATTTTCTCTCAACAGTTCCCTCGCAAGTTTCACGCTGCAATTGCAAGAGGTGGGGCCTTTCTGGTGACGTCACCACGCAGTCACGTAAGGACTGTTCCATTTGTGTGACCAATAGGCTACTAAGGAGGAGTCTTCATAGGACAGTCCTACCCAGGACCCGCCCTCCCTCGGCTGAAGCCTGGGTTTGGAACGCAGCTAACACCTCTGGATTCAGCCTTTCAGTACATTAATAACAGCAAGATGAAATAAATGTAACCAAATGCTGCTGCAGTCAGTGCAACGTTGAAGACACACCAGCTCTCTCTGCTGGTCTTCAGGTGGGTTTGATCACTGTGTCTATTTAAAAGTTAACTTTCTACATAATGTGGATAAAATAGTAACCCAGCCAAACAATCCGTTCAACATCGGCTACTCAGGCTCCTGTGTGGAATCACACTGCTTGTTATTCAGTCAGACGAGCTCACATTACCAACTACGAGTGCATCAAAATAAAATGACTTGCAAACATAGAAAAACAGGTGTGTTAGGAAGCCACACAGGTTTACCACACAAACCAACCCATAGCTGAAACTTACCACGTTTATTTGTGGCTTTGAAGTCACACAGTCCCACCTCTCGACCAAAATATAAATGTGCATGCTGTGGCTAGCAGTGGTTACTAAGCAGCGATTGGAGGGCTGAGGAAAATGAGGCGGGCCCTGAGATGGTCTGATTGGCTCAGTCCCTGATGTTGGCAGCCTAGTCGTGACCCTTGCCTGTAGTAGAGCACTCAGCTCCTGTCAAATACCAAAGACCGTTCAATGTACGACTGATGAAGAGCAGCCTGCACTATTGAGTATATGGGTCATTCTACAGAAACGTCCACTTTTCTATCTGTCCATAGGAGTCACTGGTGTTACCAATCCTCATTGGTGTTACACATAATAAAGGTAACACCAGAGACATTTTTAATGAAGAATGCATTTTACAAAACGGCTGCTGCAGAGCATCAAACCATATGTTGTCAATCACTGAATATGCACTAAAATATGGAATTTAATCCATTTGTATTCTATTTTTTCACAATTACCTCAGAATAAAGTGGGTCACACCAGTGACGTCAACTAAAAGCTTCATATGAAATCATGAGCTGAATGAGAAAATCTCTGATAACTGAAAGACACAGTGGACTCACCATGTGCTTTTCTTCATAGATCCTCAGAAAACAGGTAAAAGGAAGTCGAGTGATGTCATCAGTGTGACTTTTATTTCAAAATAAGAGATTTTTAGTTATGCAGTAACACCAGTGACACGACTCCTGGGGACCACAACTTTCATTACATATTTTATAATATTTATTTGGCATTTTAATTTATATATTCCACAGTCATGTATAGATTATTGTAGTTAAAATTGCAGAAAAATTTGTTTTGTCCTTCAAAATGTGGCCTCAGCCTTCACACATGACTGTGGGGACGAGCTCTTCTGTGGTGCTTGGTATTCTAGATAAATGATTTAAAAACAAATATTGCTAAATTGAGGCTCAAGAACGTGTAATTGTTAAAATAACTTATTGTTATATTTGAAAATGTAAAAAAATTGTAACCCTAACATGTTTTTCAAGTGTTATATATCTGTAAATGCTAGGGACACAAAAATGCTCTACTTTCTGTAGAATGACCCCTATACTGATGCAGTATGCACTGCACAGTACACTACGCTATCTCCAACACAGCCTTGGTGAAAGCTTATTACAGTCAAAACAGAAGTGCATTCTAATGTCATCCGTTATATCAGAGGCCAAAAATAAACTCTAACCGTGCAGTGCTTTAACATCTGCTTCTGTCCTGTAGCTGTGCTGAACCACTCGATATTTAAGCAGTAAAACTACAGGTTTTGAGGATACGCTGATAGAAAACCTGTCATGAATGCACAGTTATCACTGATGAAATGTAACTTTAAAGAAGCTCAGTTATTACAGGTCATCTTATTATTCATATACAGTTTTCCCACAGATTTTATATATACTTTGGTGCCAAGTCATTGAGTGCGAGACAGGGGGAAACACCAAGTCTAAAGCACAAATAAACAGCAAAATTCATTAAAAATGTATATATATTTATTGCTGCTGTCAGAACAAAACCTTGTATCTCCATTTTTGTTGTTTTTAAATATTTGACTATTTGAAAATACCCATTGTCCTTTACATTGTGTGTAAATTTCATGAATGGACCAAAAGAAATGGGCCCAAATTATTTGGCAAAAAGTCTGGTTCTATTGACTTACATTAAAAGTAAAAGAGTGAATATACACACACACACACATCAGAAAGAGTGAATATATATATATATATATATATATATATATATATATATTCACTCTTTCTGACTCTCCCACCATACATATATATATATATATATATATATAAATATACACACACACACACACACACACATATATATATATATAACCTATGTGTGAGAAACGCTGACATCAACCTACAGAGCATACTGCCAAATAATTAGGTACTTGTCAGCGCCACTTTGGTGTGGGAGATGTGGCAAAAATGTAATACCACAATACTTCTTCAACAAATCATTTTTAGCCTTCCCAGTTTTCAATATTTAGTTTTTCTTGAGCTTTGATAAGTTAAACAATGCTGAGTATATTTTTTTTTTATTTGACACTTTGACACACATGGTACATCACTGTATTATATATATAGATAAAAGGACAAAACCATAGACAGCTATGCCACTTCTGATATGCTCCGAAAAGCTTAGATAATTTATTGTGATAATATTATCATATCGTCATAACACCCACCCATAAAGCCACAGCAGCTTCCCTTATACAGTTTATATAGTTTATTATATTAATAGCTCATTAAAAAATGATATATTTGTATACCCCATATTTCTTCAGGGATGTACAATGATATCAGAATCATGTCAGATAACCGCTTTAAAACTTTATCATCGTCAGGCAGAGGATAAGAGATTACCGGTATTCCAAGTCGATATTTGACGGTGTATTTATTGAACTCCACGCTGGGTTTCTGTGCTAAAATATCTACTTTTTTACTACATTAATTAATGAACCTGCAGAAATAAAAGTTATATAGCTCTGTAATGCTAATCCAAGTCAATTTTGTCCAAATTTCTTTTGGCTCACAGTTGTGGATTTTACCCACAACTGATATAGCAATGCATCCCAAATAAAAGATGGAAATATAAAAAAGGAAGCAGAGAAAAAAAGCTATATCTATGTTTTTTAAACAATTTTCGCCCCTCAATTATTGCCCCTTGGAACTGAGTTACATGGGATAGTGGTTAAAATCTTCCGTACAAAATGGGACCCTCAAATAAAAAGTTCATTAACTTCATTAACAGCTACCAGCGCTGCTCTGTAGGCGACCCTGCCAGTCTGCAGTGACAGCAGAGGAGGGTAAAGTTCAGCTCCTCACTGCTGGGCTTTAGTTACATTTAGGGCATCATATGACTTCAAAGAAGGGGGCAATTATTTATTATCACCCACCCCTAATTCTTCAGTGATATGAAGCTGAAGTCAGATATTCTCCAGCTTCTTGTTCGAATTTTCCCGTTCCACCTTAAATGGAGCAGCAGTTCTGATGTCTGAAGCTCCAGAATGTAACTGCTGCAGCATTTAAGGTGGAACGGGAAATTCAGCTAGCCAGTTACAGGGAAATCAACAAAATACAAGCAATTTTTTATGCTTGTTACGAGGAAAAGGACCATCATACACTAAAATGACATTAAACTAAGATAATACAGGGGTTATTGTAATTTTTAACAGAGAAGATTCTCACATTTGTGGGTTTCTTTGGTCTCTTGTTCTCTTTCTTGACGGTTTTTCTTTTTTTCTCATATCACTTTGTTTGGAGTGTCTCCAAAAAACCTGTTTGGAGGGTCATGTAGCCCCAACACTTCGCCCTCCCCTCTATCTTAACAACAATCAGGACACCCTACACCTAGACGTGACCATGCAAAACGGAGGGCTAAGGGCTGAGTGGTAGGGGTGAGGGGTGAAACATGATTGGGCTAATGTGTTAAAGACGTCTTGTCTCCACAGAACTCTAATTATTACAATACTACAGCTTGATTTGACTCAATGTAGCAAAACAATGATCTTATAAAACAGCACAATTGAACTATAAACACTAAAAGAATAGACAGGATGCACTCAGACGTCAATAATGAGTCTTTTTTTTTTTTTACTTAATCAAACTGTTACAATCTTAGAGAAAAGGGAACCGAAATACATACCAGAATGTCACCGTTGGAGGGTCGTCTGGACAGACTAACGCCCAGCCACTGGTTATCGCTCTCAGGCCAGCAGGTTTTCCCACAGCTCTCCACACCTACACACAGATACAAATGCAGCCTGTGTTATTTAAATACGCCACTCAGTAAACAATATAAACCACACAGACTCTCTGTAATTCACCACATGCAGAGAATAAAGAGAGACAGGAGTTCAGTTAGGACAGGAATAGTTTCCCCCCATCCGAAATGTAGTTCACCAGCCAAGACATGTTTTTTTTCCACGCAAGTAACAAAAATTAATAAATATATATGTACCATTCAACCAAATTAGATCAAACTGTAGCCCAGCAGTAAAAAAGGGCTTAACTACTATTTAAATACAAAGGATTAATATAGATAGTAATAAGCTAAATATATAGAAAATCATAATTTATGGGCTGTCAAACCATGATCACTAAATTTACACTTGTGAAAATAATACATTTTTAAGATCTATTTTAAATCTTTTAAAGCAAAGTTGAAAGATTTAGATTTATCATGAGTTTAACTTTTAAATTAAAAAAATAATAATAAAAATTATATCACTACCGAAATAGTTTTAGTCTGTAGGCGGGGCCTTATTTTAGCCACGCCCCTGCATTTTAGAGCAGGAAGTGAGGCTGCATCCCTGTCCCTCATGGCCACATGGTGAGCAGTTAGATCCCATTGTTTTGAAGTAAATGTGTCCCAAAGTCTGAAAATCAGTGTGGAACATTAAGAATCGTCACTACCGAAACACATTTTCTGCAGTTAAGTAGACTTTTTAGTGCTTTATTGAAGAACATGATGATTTTGTGCATGTACAGCTGTTCAAAGCTGTGTTTGTTGGTCATGTTCTGGCTAGTGTTTTTGAGTTCTGCTCACAATGAGCTGAAATTTGTCACTATTGAAACATTTGGTAGTTTTGGCAGTGTTATGATTGTTAGCGTTATGAAGCTGTTGTAAAATCCATAATGTACACAGCTATGACCGCCTCACAGCAACTGAACTGAGCCACGGCATGAAAAACCCTTCTGCTGTAGTTGGAATAATCTTTGACTCTCATGCTGCTCACATGGACCATCGAGTGCACTGATGAAGTAAGAACCCGTTTTCTGTTTAAACTGAGGGGCTGGCAACTTATGTTCTTAACTAGAACTGGCCTGGTCAGCTAGCTAACAGGCTAAAAGAGCCAACAGCCTAAACAGCTCCATCATTAATATCACAGGCCTGAATTAAAGCACTTACAGTATGATTAACTGTATAAAAGTCTAAAAATGTTACTTGAATGTCTTCAGTCAGAAGTCACATCAAACCCAGGCTGAACCCCAAACGGCTCCATACTCCCTAACCAGTGTGCTAACTAGAACTAACTAAATATTTCACCTCTACAGTGAAATACTGCATCATTTATCGAGTGTGGATGAGTATGAGTCCCAAATGACTGTTTCTCAGCTGTATTATTTACTCTTGGTGTGCAGGAACCGATATTTAAATTCCTACGTAGTGCACTATGTAGGGAGCAGGGAGCCATTTGAGATTCAGCCCCAGCGTGAGAAGAGGGCGCCGCTGGATTGGTGCTAAATAAGACTTGCGGTGGTGATTTAGTGACCAAAAAAGTACTTATAAAGCGAAAAGTTTGCATTAAACAGTTCAGTGTTATCATATGTTCACTGTTATACGACAAAAAGTTAAAAAGTTCAAGAAATGACCGCAGTTTACAGCGACGTTTACAGGGTGACCGAACGTTCTCCTCATTCAGCAGTCCACGGTTGCTTGGCAACGACACCATACGCTAAAGGATCCACATTTCTTGGTGGAATACTTATTTATGTCGATTATTATTAATAATTACTTTAATTATTACGTGTAATTTATCATAGTTTATGCTGGCTGCCATTTTATAAAAGCAATAAGCTACTTGAGACCATTCGTTACTGCGATTTTATCAGAAAAAAGGGAGTTTTAGGACCCAGAACACCCTTCCCCATGATAAAATCACAGTAACGCACGGCTTCTCATGGCTTACTGCTTTATTAATAACCTCCCCTACCTCTCTTGGTGCCTCCCCACCCCCTAGTCATGTTTCAAACCTGTGGGAAACACTCAAAGCGCACCTCAATAGATAGAAACGGTTGTAGAAGCCAACTTAAAGCCTACATTAGCCTGACAGCTCCAGTGCAAAACTGAAAAAGCACACTTCAGACACCAAACATGTCCTGGCTGATCGGCTACATTTGGGATAAGATGGAGAAAATTCTGCACATCTTTTGTTGAACTATTCCTTTAAACATCTGCCCTCTAACTGAACTGTAGGACCCTGGGGACCACTCAGTGCCGTCACTGACTGACCTGTAAACTGGCAGATGCATTGCAGAAGCAGCAGTGGTGCAGTGCAGCGTGACAGATGTTTGCAAATGAAAATTATTCTATGAATCATTTTTAGTTTTCGCACCTCAGAGGTGGCGGGTACTTCTGAGGCAGCACCTTTTCGTTTTGTGGTACAGCGTGAAAAAACCACGCTTAACTCTGGAGCCAGAACGGCTGACATCAGCAGTGGCTGATAACCAATATCACTTTGATCTGATGCTGTAGCGGCCTGTTGGCCACACGTGTGAAGCTTGCTATGCTAATGACTGTGAATGTGTCACCTCTTACACCTCCTGACAGCCTGGCTGCCCCAAAGCAAGACACCAAAACCACCACGTGGTCGCAGTGCGACCAGCAATGCGCCCTGAATGCACTTCCTGTATCAAAGCAGATACAAACTTCACAACATGAGACATTCATCTTCACTTGATTTAGTCTGGGCTTAGTTGCGTAGTTACTTCTGCAAGACATTAAAGACACAAAAACTAGCCAAGATGTGTTGGTAGTAAAGGACTGCGTGTAATCTAGATTACATAATCTGATTACCAAAATCAAACACTTGTAACTGGGGTCTTTTAGCTCTTAATGTATTGTGGCGATAAGTTGTATTATAGCTGTGTCTCAGGGCGTTTTTCCGCTGTACAAAGTCCCGGAACCTTCAGCATCGGGAAACTGGAACTGGGCTTTTTCCATTGACCGTCAGTCCAGTACCTAAGACAGCAGTTTTAGGTTTTTGGTAACTGCTGAAGAACGGTACCAAGTAGGGATGCACGAGCGCTCAAATACTCAGCCCACGTTTCACTACTGAAATCACTAATCAAGTACTTGTTGCGTTTCACGGTGAGAACACAGAGGTACAGACCAGCAGTTCAACACCTATTTTGTGTTTTAACAGAACTGTAAAACATGAGCGAAGTTTTAGAGTAAGTGTGTCAGGTTATGTTTTGCTACTAAGACACGAGAACCTTAAGGTGGAGAAAGCGCAGTAGACATTTTTGTGAGAAAATCACACAGATCAGATTAAAAGATAAACACCACAAGACGTAGAGTTTTCATTAAATACTGAGTTTAAGAGATACATTTTTAGATGCTTCTTAAAAGTGAGCACTGAGCTTGACTTTCTAATAAAAGGTGAACTGAGCTCCACAGTTTAGAAGCAGAATAACTGAACGAGTCTCTCTACGTTTTCTGTATTTTACTGAAGGTGTTTGTAGAAGGGCAGAATCTGCAGATCTAAGATCATAAACAGATACTCTGTGATGTAAGTGGTGCTTTATGGTCATTTAGAGCCTTAAAAACAGATCTTTAAAATCTATCCTGAACGATACAGACAGCCAGTGCAGTTCTTTTGAAGCGGGACTGATCTGATCTCTCTGTGTTGTTTCTGTTAGGATGCTGATGCATTTTGTACGAGCTGTAAAGGATGTATTGTTTTCTTAGGAAATTCAGTAAGAGGACCATTACAGTGATCAACGCTGCTGTAACAAATGCATGAACAGGTTCGCTCTGAGATAGAAAAGGCTGAACTTTAGCGATATTTCTCAAAGGATACACTATTAAAATGAGAAGTCAGCTCAACTCAAAATGATACAGTAACTGGTTACATGGCTTTTCTTGAGTTGACTCAGCTTGAGGACACCGGAGTTCACCTACCTCAAACTTCTTAGTTGAGTCAAAAATTCTCCCAGCCACTGTTTCTGGGTCTGCATCTCAGTTAAATGAACAAAACAGAATTTGCATTGTTTTACTTGCTGGCAATCCTTCTATCACACAGTCCCATCTGGCATATTGCCCTCTTGGACTTCTAGATATGGACAGCTGTGGTATTGCTGGGATTCAAACTTACAACCTCCTGATGTTGGGATGAATTATTAGATAGTCACACTACATGAGACTCATCCTTTAAAGTTAAAACAACAAATATTTTCTCCAGTGTTTTAAACATTTGTAGACCCAAAATCTGAGCTGCTTCATGTGTTTCTGAGTGCTGCAGTGGACTAAGCCATTATCCCAACAGGAGGTTGTGAGTTTGAACTCCAGCAATGCCACAGCCATCCATAAGTGTTTACCCAAGAGGTAAAATGTCTTGCAGGATTGTGTGAATGAAAGAGTTCTGGCTAGAGGGGAGGTATGAAAAACAAGCTCACTTTTTTTACCTCACTGAGATGCAGAACTAAAAAATTAAGAGAACTTTTGACTCAACTAAGAAATTTTGAGTTGAGCTGATCTCTCATTTTTAACAGTGTAGAAAGCTACTTTAGTGACTCCGGGGATAAAATTAAATGCTTTAAAATTTGATAAAATGATCAAATAAGCAGCTAAATAGCTAATCATGATTATTATGACAGTTACAGCTGCCTATTGAGCAGGTGGAAACATGAACTAGAACTAGAACCATCAGTTCCGCTAGTATCCCCTTTGGGTCAGTTCTTGTTTTTGGTTGTGCTGTGGAAAAATGCCCAAAATAAAGTATAACTACTTGTGAGATTGAAGGGAGGTGAGGATTCTTCCTCGGAGGTTCTTCTGAAATGAAGGGTATTAATAGGAAGTTTGTTCCTCCTTTGCTGCAGTAACAGCCTCTACCCTTCTGGGAAGGCTTTACACTAGATGTTGGAACATTACTGTGAGGATTTGATAGTATTAGCGAGGTCAGGTACTGATGTTGGATGGTCAGTTCTGGATCACTCATTCCAAAGGTACTGGATGGAGCTCCATCACTCCAGAGAATACAGTTCCACTGCTCCACAGCCCAATTCTGGAGGGATTTAGACCCCTCTAGCCCAAGCTTGGCATTGGGCATGGTGACCATAGGCTCATGTGCAGCTGCTCCAGAGCATCCCACTCTATTAATCAGTGTTTTTGGGGGGGATTACACAGGGTGTGTACATGTATAAACAGTATTGTACTTCTTTCTATGAGCATTTACCAAAAAATTCATTGTATGTGAAAACATATTCGACTGATAAACAATTCTGATTCTAAGAGCAGATCTTATCTAAAACTTCCACCTGTTAGGACCCAATTCTGTTTCAGGCACAGTCACTGTGAACTTCTGACCTCTTGTCCTGCTTCATTCTTGTTCAATGTTCCAAAAAAAATGTGCAGGATGAATAAGGATGTTTTCTTTTGTGCTTCCTGCCCGACGACAAGTCTGACCTGGAAAGATGTCAGGCCCGTTAACCCTTATTTGGGAGAGTGGGTTAGGCTCTATAATGACAGGAAGATAAGCAAGAGCAGCCCTACTTTAGCGGCTGGTCGTTTGTTCAGGATGTACCTACAGGAAACGCAGTCTGGAGAGCACATATACACACGACCAACTAACCCTGCCTGAAACAAACCACAGTGGCTCAACCAGGGCCTGACCTGCGAGGGAATGTGACTAAAACAAGACGCTGAGTCCTCCAGGGACATTAAGGCTAGATGTTGAGAAAGAACAGAATGAACAGAGCTAAAGGAATGGTGAGGGCCGAATTCGGACTATGTGCAAGAAATTCACTATTGAGAAATGTAGGATTTGGACAATGGTGTACAAAAAAGGAAAAAACCAGGGATAAGAGCACTCAGGCCATGAGGAGACGAGGGAAATAAAAAAGAGAAGTAAAGCAAAGTAAAAAAGAAGAAACCGGCATATGTCATCACTTGATGACGTCACTCACCAGTTTGGAGCTGCTCACACTTCTTGTTTGAAATGTTACACTTGTAAACGGCTCCTGGTTTTTTGATGCTGGCGTTGAAACTAGACTCAGCGGTTGGGGCTCCGACAAGTAACCTAAGAAAGAAAACACAAAATGAAACACTTACAGGGTCGATGTTTTGCTTTTTTTATGCATTTTAGATTTTTTTACTGGAGATCCACTTATAACATTTGTGGGTTTTTATGTACCAAACACCATACTAATTCATTTTAATATGACCGCGCCCCACCCTCTCTTCATCCTTTAGAATTAAACAGGCTGTTTTCATTACTGTGCCTTTAAGACTGATATGTAGAGCTCTGTTTTGATTGGCTGCCCTATATTTTGCCTCATTCAAGCAGTCCAAGCTGAAACCCCCCATATAACTTCCGCATTAACCCTTTAAAATCCCTGACATATTACATACCAAGGCTTATTATTCAGTAACTACACACTGAAGTAAAACTTTGGGCCTGCCGGTGGGCCATGGCCATTTAAGAGGTTAATGATCAATGCTAAACCTCTGTAGGTTGAATAGGCAGATGTATGTAAATGTGTGGGTTTTCTTGACATTACAAAAACAGTCTTGTTGCTGTTGGAAGAAAAGCTTGTATCTCCAAAATGGTAACTTTACAGGAGAAGGAAAAAACACACTTTACTCTTCATGTAAGTCAATGGAACCAGATTTTTTTCCAAGTCATTTTGGGCCGTTTCTTTTGGTCCATTCATCATGGAATCTACATACAATGTAAAGGGTCACAGGAATTTTCAATTTATGTCATAAACTGAAAAATGACAAAAATGGAGATGCAAAGTTTTGTTCTGACAACAGCGATAAATATATGTACATATATATATATTATATTTGGACTGTACAGACTGAGGAGTGAATGGTGCTTCTTAAAAGTTAAAGGTACAGAAAATTTGTTTTTTCAAATTCCTTTAAGACACAAATCTCAAAATGAAATACACAATCTGAGGATTAAACCTCAAATAAGATATAAAATCTAATCCAAATGAAAGTCCAACAGTGATACGCATTCTACTAACGAACCCCCAAAAGGAAACACATTAGCACTGCAGTTTAAAGTGCCTTTGAGTATGAAGTGCTATCATGTACTTGACAGTTTAACAGTAGTATCATATCCGTTACAGCTGCACTGTATGCTCACAACAAAGTTTTACGCAAGTTTACTTATCTTTATATGCAGCTAAACAGCATATAAAGCACATTTCTACCAAATATCACTGAAAAACATTAGCTTTTGACACTTAACCTAAAAATGTATGCACTACTTTACTTTAGAGTACAGTATACTTGAGTTTAGCACAGTTTACTTAAGTTAAAGTCAATCTTAACCCGAATGAATAATTTGTTAAAGTCCATAGAAATGGCTGAAAAAGTTTTTTTTAGTAAAGTTTTACAGTCTAGTCTTGATCTATGTATGAAATGTACATAGTAGGTTTACTTAGTTAAGTCAGTAAAGCAGAGAGGAAGTTTATTTCTAGGACTAAACCTGCTCAGCTGAGACAGAGAGACATTTATAGTTAAAGTAAAGAGACTTTGAACATGTTTTCTAACTAGAAACGTTGAGTTTTATGATGTTTGTCTATATAAAGGATTAGTTTAATCCTGCTCTGAGTGTAAAATGCATTGAGTTAAGTTAGTTTCGTTAAGAAAAGGTTAATTTCCGTAATTAAAAGCTTTTAAATCGTGTCAGAGGGAACTTTTAGTCCATCTGGTCACGCCTTTCAGCCACACTGAGGATCCCCATCTCTGAGACCAGGCTGGGGTTGGTCTCTTATTCCAATTTTCCGTTCCACCTTAAATGCTACAGCGGTTACATCCTGGCGCCGTTTAAGGTGGAACGGAAAATTCGACTCCAGCTCCAGCTGTGCGCGCGCGGGGTCCACGCCTGAACTCACCACGGGTTCTGCCGGTGCCTGTGCAGTAGAACCGAGTACCCGAACATGGACCCGTCCGGACCGCTGAAGCTCTCCGGGCTGCGCGTGTCCAGGTTGTATCCGTGGCAGAGGATCAGCACGCAGCACCACGCGCACACACACGCCAGCGCGCGCCGCATGGCTCCACTTGTAGTAAGAGAGACAAACTCCAGAACCGCTCTTCTGAAAACGAAACGCTCGGACTTCCAGCTCACACACACTCCGAGTTCATGGCAGGAAAAAGTTTGAGAGAGCGAGCGCGCGTGTGCGTGTGCGTCTCGTGCGCCTGTTGCGCTCTGAGGGGCATCCGAGCGCACCAGTGACCCCTCCCTCTGGGTTGGTCCCTAGACTGAACTGAACATGCGCATTTGTGTTACAAGCGCGTGCACTGTGCTAAAGTCAGAGGCCACCTTCATGTATTTAATTTCCACTCAAAACAGCCATGAAGTACAAATTCATTCATTTTCCATGAGAGGTTTCTGATGAGATTAGATACGAGATAATTCAATGATACAAAGTCAAAAGGAAAAACAGGAGTTTCCAAAACTGGAGCTCAAAAAATGACTAAAATCTACGGAGAAAATGAGGCTCCTAACAACCACCTGGAACACCAAAACTGCCCCCATCAGATAAACAGCACTTAAAGCTTTCATCTCTGAGAGAGAGGAGAAAATCAAGCTGCTTCAGATCTGAAAACATCCACAGGTGTTTCTGTCCATCCTTCCACTGTGAGAAGACGACTCAGCGCTGTGGGTCTGAAAGGATGTGTAGCTGTTCAAGAAGAACCTCACTGAGAAAAGGAGACGGACACATCAAACAAAGAAGCTGAACGATGGACTGACCACCCCAGAGTCCAGACCTCAACACCACTGAATGTGTTTGATTACTTCAGAAAATGATCAACCAGCTTCTAAGACTGGACTTTGGAGGTGTGTCTGCAGATTCTTTGAGGAACTGAAAGTGAGTCTCCTGAAGAGAAAGGTAAAGAATGACACACTCAATACTGAAAAAATATATTTGTGTTATTATGTGTTATCATATTATGTTACATTTTGCTGTTGAGGCCTCTGTGTGATTTTAAATACGTGTTTTCTTCTTCTTCTCCCAACATTGAAAAATGAATGACTTTTGCACAGTACTGTACTTATGTATGTGTACAATGTGTGTCAATAAGTCATTATTTTGACATACTAAGCCAAAATCTTAAAAAGTGATTCTTTCTACATGCTAAAATCAAAATTTCAAGAAAATAAGTAATTATTTAGAATCAAAACATAAAGAAAATAATCATATCAACATACTAAATCATTTTTTGAGAAAATAAGTTTTTTTCAGTATAAGTCATCGTTTAGAAATACAAAATCAATATTTGAAAAAATATGTCATCACTGAAACTGTATAGTTCCATCCTGGAACTATACTGATTGAAATTTGTAAGAGGAAAAGTCGTTATTTAGAAGTACTAAATCAAAAGTAAAGAAAAATAAGCCATTATTTCAAAATTCTAAGTCAAAATCTCAAAACGTGATTGTTTCTACATATTAAATCAGATTTTAAGGAAATTATTCAAAATTTGATAGATAAAAACAAAATAAAGTGTCTTAGTAAGGTGTTGAGCCACCAGCTTCAGAGCACCTTGGCACAGACTCTACTGGTCTCTGGAACTGTACTGGACAGGTGGAACACCATCCTTCCAAAAGACGCTCCCTCAGTTTGTGTTTTGATGGTGGTAAGACGTCGGCCCAAAATCTCCCACTGGATTCTGTTGGGTTGAGATCTGGTGACTGAGAAGGCCACAGCATATGATTTACATCAGTACTCACCACACCAATCAGTGACCCCTCGTGCACTGTGATGGGGATAAAGTGTCTCAGTAAGGTGGAAGAGACCACCACCATCAGGAAGAGACCACCACTGTCCTGGAAGAGACCAGCACCATCAGGAAGAGACCACCACCGTCATGAAGAGACCATCATCATCCTGAAAGAAACCAGCACCATCAGCAAGAGACCACCACCGTCATGAAGAGACCATCGCCATCCTGAAAGAGACCAGTACCATCAGGAAGAGACCATCACAATCCTGGAAGAGACCAGCACCATCAGAAAGAGACCATCACTATCCTGGAAGAGACCAGCACCATCAGGAAGAGACCAGCACCATCAGGAAGAGACCACCACCATCCTGGAAGAGACCAGCACTATCTGAAAGAGACCACCAACCTGGAAGAGACCAGCACCATCCTAGAAGAGACCACCACTGTCCTGAAAGAGACCAGCACCATCAGAAAGAGACCACCAACCTGGAAGAGACCATCACCATCAGAAAGAGACCACTGACCTGGAAGAGACCAGCACCATCAGAAAGAGACCAGCACCATCAGGATAGAAGTGTTTGCTCACAGGATGAAGCTGATCAGTCACAATAACTTTGAACTGATTTTGCAGAGAATCTCTGAAGTTCTGCTGAACATCTTTTCATAACTGAGTGTGATTTTATTATTTACTCATAATTAAGCTTAAGATCTCCACATATTCACAAACTGTTATTTTTATTATTAGGAACGACCCCCACTAACTAACTCAGTGCATCTTTTGTGTCTCAAAGAACACTGTAGGTGTTAATTCAACACTGAATTCTGCTGTTTAACCTAAATTGTGTCCATTTTCCTTCCTGACGTGACTCGAACTATTTCCCACATTCCTCGAGGAACAGAGCTGGATTTATGGAGCGAGTGAGCAATCCTGGAAGAATTTAGCATCTGCTGTGCGTTGTGTGCGTCCCGCTGCCTGGTGGCCAATGGTGCAGAGAGATGGTAAATAAAGCTCAGGCCTTTTAATGGCCTCAGGAAACACTGAGCAAAACTCCACTGCAGCTTCATCAGAGTGTACACAAAACACAGAGCTGTTTGCGCAAGACACGTCTCACTCGTGATACACACTCGGGTTTGAAAAGAGTAAATAAAAGTGAAGCAGGAGTTTGAAAAAAGACTGCAGATTGCTCATTAACGTTTAGCACTGGAGCTAGCTAAAAGCTTAGCTAAAACAGTATTAGCTGTCATATTAAACCCTGAATTTTCTCCGTATTTTGTCTGTTTTTATAACTCGAGGCAAATGTGTGATGATTTAGACAAGCAGTTAGCACAATGCTACGTTTTGGCATATAAGCCTCCATTGCTTGTTAGCTAAATTCGCCTCATAGCTCCAAAGCAAAACTAAAAAAGCAAACTTAATTAAATTAAAAGACACAAAACATGTCGTTGCTGATCTAGGTGTTTCTAATAAAGTGGCCAGGGAGTAGAAGTACAAGGTAGGTGTTTCTAATAAAGTGGCCAGTTAATGGAAGTACAAGGTAGGTGTTTCTAATAAAGTGGCCAGGGAGTAGAAGTACAAGGTAGGTGTTTCTAATAAAGTGGCCAGTTAATGGAAGTACAAGGTAGATGTTTCTAATAAAGTGGCCAGTTAATGGAAGTACAGGGTAGGTGTTTCTAATAAAGTGGCCAGGGAGTAGAAGTATAAGGTAGGTGTTTCTAATAAAGTGGCCAGGGAGTAGAAGTACAAGGTAGGTGTTTCTAATAAAGTGGCCAGTTAATGGAAGTACAGGGTAGGTGTTTCTAATAAAGTGGCCAGGGAGTAGAAGTATAAGGTAGGTGTTTCTAATAAAGTGGCCAGTTAATGGAAGTACAAGGTAGATGTTTCCAATAAAGTGGCCAATGAGTGGAAGTAGAAAGCAGATGTTTCTAATAAAGTGGCCGGAGTGTATAATGACTTCACTACACTTCCATTGTGATGACTGTGTACCAGTGAGTCATCCAGTGCAGATGCTTTTCAGGAATTATAAACAGTTGGCAGACATTTCTCTGTACGAGAGACTCGTGACTGTAATGAAGCTGTCTGTCGCGTCAGCACAGCGCCAGACACAAAGACACACACCTACTGAGGACAACCGCTCCCCTCTGACTGTGGATAAACATGTGATGGCTGAATGAAGCAGTGTTAAACAGCTCGGAGACTCCAGAACAACGTCCTCTGTCTTCATCTGAGTGGGTGAGTGAGTGAGTGAGTGAGTGAATGAGTGAGTGAGTGAGTGAGTGAGTGAGTGAGTGAGTGAGTGAATGAGTGAATGAATGAGTGAGCTGCCCTTCATTACCCATTAACACACTTAACTGTGGAGCTTATTTTAACACAGGAGCTTCAAAAGGCCTCTTTAAGGAGAAGTGTGAATGAAAGACTCTCTCTCTCTCTGTCTCTCTCTCTCTCTCTCTCTGTCTCTCTTTGTCTCTGTCTCTCTGTGTGTCTATGTCTCTCTCTCTGTCTCTTTATTCCTTTCTTTCTTTCTTTCTTTCTTTCTTTCTTCTTTCTTTGTCTCTATCTCTATCTTTCTCTTCTTCCTCTTTCCTTTTTCTTTCTTTCTTATTCTCTCCATTTTTCTTACTGCCTGTTTATCTTTCTCTCTTCTTTCTCTTTTTTGCTGTTTTTCTCTTTCTTTCTTTCTTTCTTTCTTTCTTTCTTTCTTTCTTTCTTTCTTTCTTTCTGTCTCTGTCTGTCTCTCTTTCTAATCTCTCACTGTCCTTCACTATCTATCTATCTATCTATCTATCTATCTATCTATCTATCTATCTATCTATCTATCTATCTATCTATCTATCTATCTATCTCTTCTTTTCTCAGCCCTTCTCTCTTTCTTTCTCACTCTCTCCTTCTGTCCATCATCAGTGAAACAGTGGAGAAAATCTGCAAATCTTTCTTTCTTTCTTTCTTTCTTTCTTTCTTTCTTTCTTTCCTCTCTCTCTGCATCACTCACTTTTCTTTCTTTCTCTCTGTCTCTTTCTAATCTTCCTCTTCTTTCTCTCACTGATCTTGTAGTTGATTGCAGTTGATTGAAAGGTTCTTCAGAGAACCAAAAGGTGTTTTTTCTTTGACACTGTTCCAAAGAACCATTAGTGGCTCTACTCTTGTTTAGGGTGGACGGTCTGATCCCAGACCAGCTCTCACGCTCCTCATTACAGCTCAGTTAATGCTGACGAGTCGACTGAGCTCAATAAACAATCAGAAGCTCTGTGAATGAGTTAGTGGACGGCTGGAGTCTGAGGCGCGAGGCTCAAATACACATCAGTCATTTTCTCCCAGTGAGACGAATGATCAGAGAAACGTGGTGTAGGTGGGATTCACAGCCTTCTCTTTCTTCCTCCGTGTGTGATGATCACCCACACTTCGCTCTCCTGTGTTCCTCTCTGAACCCAGGCTGATATCTGTGGATCTTCTGAGTCAACATGTGGAGGTAAAGTG